GATTGGGATGGTAGTTTGGTGCGTTTGGTGTTGTCGAGCTCCAACAGTGCTGTGGCCTCGGCTATGATTTGGGTGGCGTGCTCGAGGTGGTTGGGGGGCTGGATCCCCAACACTGGCCAGACAGCTCCACTAACCATGACTTCTGGGTACTGGGCGATAGCCAGAGGCCTGGTTAATAGGTTGGTCCAGGTTTAAGGTCAATTAAGCTTCTGCTTAGCGAGAAATTCTAAAAATTCGCTCTGCGCTGAGGGTAGTTGTTTTTGGCCATATATCGGAGGTTCGCTAGTCGGACTAACGTTATCCCTTTGATCCGACCTATCAGATCTCATCACACGGCTGGCACCGTGACACCTACGATTATTGCCCGTGTCCCAGGAGAACCAACCTTCATTTTCAGTGAAGACTGGGATACGGTTGAGAATGTGGAGAAATGGTCAGAGTTCAACTATGAGATGCTCACCTTGCGATTCGGAGAAGATTTCCGGCGCCAAGTACCCCGGTTCGATGCCACAAGCAAAAGTGAGGGAGATTATAACAAAACATAATGAACGTGGGCTATGCGATCTTATATGCATGTCACCACAGGTCCTGTATCGGCAGTACTTCGTCCTTTATTTATCACATCCAGCGGAAGAGTGTTGGAGTGGCTAGGATGCTTCCCTGACTGGGGCGCTGGGCATAAGGTGATCCCGAACGCAGATGGAAGGGCTAGAGCCCTTGCACTTGGTGACACCAAATTCAAGTGGTTGCCAACCAACGCCATCAGTACTGTCCAGACTAGTATGGATGATTCCTGTGAAGACGCGCCAATGAGAGGCTATGTCAGACATTTTGAGCAAGTCCATATTATGGCGCTGTTTAAAAATGCTGATACATCTTTATTATCACCGAAAAAAGAGCGTGTAGTTATACAACTCCATTCAGCACCTGACCCAGTTTGAACCTTGCCAAGACCTAGGGGTGTTGACGATATCCGCCCCGGCAGATATCATTCGATCGAATATCCGTGGCGGATACGATATTCGCCGTCTCTTCTATGGCGAATACGAATGTCGAATATTATTCTCCCAGCTCCCGGGAACACCGGATATGCCAGACACCCCAACGCCAACTCACTGGAGGTCCAGGGACGTGATGCAGCCCTTGTTTAGTGGTAACAGTGTGGAGGTCATGAGCACGGAGGGAAACGAAGGCCAGGAGCGCTGGCAACCTGAGGGGTCCAGCATGTTATAGGGGTCTCGTACGAACCCCAAGAATGACAGTTTGGCTAGGGCCAGCACAGAATGCAGCCAACAAGGGATCTGAAACAACTACAACAACCTTCGTATGACTTCCTAACATACGGAGACAATCATTGACCCCTTTGGTCAACTCCTGACTTCCGCAAGGGATTGCTGATAACACTACTTGGAACTTCATTTCTGTACGACCATAAAAGACTACTTCCACCTCTGCTCTGTTTGTTTCTTCTTCAACGATTCCTTCTTGTACAACAGAGGTTAGCTTTAGGTTAAGACAACTTGAGCTCAAAACTCTAACATTACGTGCTTCACGTCCGTGAGGGACGGATATGGATTGTCTTGATATTGAATGGAAACGGCCATGGATGGTCCCTGCGTTCAGATGATGGACATTGTTACAGGGGATCCTCCCAACTAAACTCCCGAAGCGGTGAACCTCCGGCCCCTGCCCGTTTGGACTGGTCGGGAAAGCAACCCAACTACTATCTTGAAGTAAAATTCACCACTGGCTCCTGGGATACCTCTTTTTTACATGAACAGGTACCAGTATCAGTGTCAGGGAGCATGAGCACTTGCTTAGTCACATGACATGCTTGATTCCTTTATGCTGACTCCTTTGTTTGGTTTTAGGGCGAGAGCCCCTCACACACTATATAGTCCAGCGCTGGCAGGCCCAGCGTTCTTTTTTTTTTTTTTTTTTTTTTTTTTTTTTTTTTTTTTCTCTTCCTCATGCTAGTATTTCGCCAGATAGTCCACCAATAGATTCATATTGAATGAGAACGTCACAATCAGGGTATGTTTATCATATATTAATGACCCGCTAGGGGCTGCTTGCTATCTGTGACAGTCTCGAACAATATAAATTTATTGGTAGAATCTCTATCGAAATACTAACATGGAGAAGGAAAGAAAGAAGCTGGGCCTGCCGGCGCTGCGCTATCTAGTGTGCGAAGGGGGTTCCTACCCTATATTCAAACAGGCCAAATGATACAAACATCTTGCGATGTTGGTGAATGCCCGTACTCCGTGACACTATCCAAGACTGAGTTGTCGCAGATACTGATGCAATTTTGGCAAAGCATCCGGCCTCAGACCGCAGTGAAGTCTAGAAATCTGTACCTGTGGAAGTAGAAATATCTTATTAGGAAGTGCTTATATGTCCTTCTCATCGCCCAGTCGTCTCTGGGGTTTCCACTATACCTCCCACCGGCCCACCCCCTCTGTTTTAGAGACTTTTGTTACAGCCTTCGCCAGAAACAGACCAAGGTGAGACCGTATTATTAGGGGATTCTAAGTGGTAAAGGCCAGAAATAAAATTGACACGAGCTCGAAATAGTAGATACTAACGAAATGATATTCCTATCCAAACTATTGTAGCCATCGACGAGAATATCGAGTCTGGAGAAAGAAAAGAAAAGGAGAGCTATCTAGAGGATGAAGGAGTTTTTTATAACAACTGTATGACAGGGCTCTACTCATGTCGGTGTCGTCTGTCATTATTCGTCTTATACGTGGTTTTAAGCCGTCAAAAATATTAAATTCACCTTATGGCACCATCTGTCGACCTTATTCTACTTATCTCACGACAAAGCAACTGTGCCCTCAAGGATTGCAAAGTGGTATTCGTGGCAGATCTCTTCATTCGTTCATTAACAACTGAGTGGCCAAGGTAAATGCTTATTTACAGTTTGTCAATCTAGACCTTCATTGCATTGATTCCAGCTTCTTCATACCATCTTTCACCTTGATAGTCGATTCCATCGTCTGTCTCCCGGTGAGATTTTACTAAGCGGTGGGGGTGGTCGAAGTGGCCCAAACTGGGTTGCCCTCGTAAAGAACGAGGTTGCCGTCATTCTGGATGACAAGGATGACGTCCCTCTTGGGGGCGGTGTTAGAGTGCCAGACAGCTTCGTCGCCGACGGTGCTGCACATAAGTGTCAGCCACAAGGGCTCCTTAAAAGTAAAACACCGCATGCAATAAAGAATAGATGAAGACAACGAAGCAAACTTACTAGATGACCAGGTTACCATCTGCCTGCATTCTGATGCCTTTCACGTCATAACGCTGCTCTTTGGTGTTCTGCCACTTTGGGTGGCCGTTTTCGTACACCACAATTTTGCCGTCTTGCTGCATTCTGAGCTCGTAGACGCCATTCTCACTCCACAGGCTGTCGCCCTTGAGCAACCACTCATCGTTACCGAGGGTGTTGTGAGGGTGAGGCATATTGAAAAGGCCTTGGGGATGGAAAAGGTGGGTTGATAAATTGGTTGTCTGAGTGCGTTTGGGAACTCGGTTGCCAAGGTATGATGCTCTAAGAAAGAATTTGATCTAGTAGGGAACATAGCCTCCTTTATATGTTGCCATGCCCTCTGCCAGGCTTTCTCTTCATCAGACTAGGTGGGGCAGCTTTGCATTGCAAATTGCAAAGTAAGGCAGCCCATCGGCTCTCTTGTTTCCTATGCACGACGCAGCCTCGCCAACCTTTCTTAATCCAAGTTGCTACAGTCAAGTTCATCCTGCCTTCCAAGTTGGCCCCACGAGCTGAGGGGTCGATCTCATCCTGTAAGACACTTGCCAAATTTGGGCCCGTGTTGTTGCATTGCATTGAGCTGAATGGGCTTGCTTTCTGCCATGAAACAATTCAGCTCTTGTTACTTAATTCTAGATTCTATGATCACGCATTTATACATTACGCCAAGTCTAGAAAATGATGTGGTCAGATCTTGCTACTCTGTATAAGAATATCATACTTTTGAGGCCGAATATGGTTCAAACACTTGGAAATATACTCCGTAGACATTTGAACATAAAGGCTGTATGAATTGGCCTGGTCCCAGCACCTCAGCTATGATGTGACAGCGCTGAAGTTATACGAGTAGACTTCAGAGGTTCAGCTCTCATATATCAAGCCACTCTGAAAGTGGAGCCCCCACTTATGCAACTAGTCTACTCGCCACTATGCCTGGACTGTAACACGATCGACAAGTTACAGCAACAGATCCGGGCCGGATCATTGTGAATATCAAGACACGTCATTCGGAAGCGGAGAGAAGTATATACTCTATACTAGCTGAATCTTCAGAAGGGTACAGAGTACATATGCATGCATTCGACTGCAAAAGTGAATGGTGGTTGGCTATGTCTCAATCACAGATGTGGAGAAAAGGCTATTACCCACTTAGCTGCATCTACACTCTGACTATACCAAGTACAGCCAGTTCGTCGATTTTCAATTACTGGAATTGTCAATCTTTCCTGACGAGTGTCCAAGTTCAGCAGAAAATGTACAATGATTACCTGTTAATTCTAACATCTGTGAGGGACTCCGGATCGTCTGATGATGAATGAAGTATGACGCCTCCCTCGAGCCACCAGCCGATCATTTATCCACGCATTGGCGCCAAATACAGAGCAGGCAATCCACCACAATACAAAGAACAGATTTGGACCGTGAGGTTGGAGATAACCTACAAGAGTCGAACAGATTTCTCCTGGTTCAAATGACAGCAATCATGCATGAATGAGAGGTATTGCCTCTGCAAGGAGTATGTTGATTGAAGAAAAAAAGCGATGCTCAGGCGAAAAACAGTCGATTTATGCCATCTTTTAGAATACCGTTCGGTTTCGCAAGACCATGCTCACGCTCGATTCTAAAGGCATCATCACCTCAATCACCTGCACCCAACTAGTGCTCTAGGTCACTGGCATAAACAAAGTAGAAAAAACAAAAAAACATACAACAGCCGGGATTCGCTGGTGGTCACCCACCCAACTACTAACCGGCCGGCGTGTGGCTTAAGTACGGCTGAGCGGACGGGAAGCCCTGTTCTCCACACCCTATGGTCGTATGTAGTAGTTCAATCTTTGATACAAAATATAACCAATAAATGCCATTCAACAACTTTTAATATGACAGCAACAAACAATTCTTTTTTATATGTGAATTAAACAGGCATGAATATGTATTATAGGTTAAGGCTAGCTACGCAGGACGTGCATTCGGAGCTACTTCCGGCCTGAGAGGATATATATTTTGACTTATCTCGCACATCTGCTGTGCCGAGTAGGCACCTTTTGCACTACTATTTTCATTTTTCTTTGGTATTAAATGCTAGGATGTGTAACAAGTCCTTGACCATATTCTCACCTCCGACAAACATACCCCCCCAAACGCTTTCGCTCGGGCTCATATCGTAACACGAATTAGACTGCTCCAATAGCGGCATAGCGGTCCAAGGCGACACTCTTGTGGGATTCCATCTAAGGGTTATGTACCAACAGGAATACGATGCCGATGCTGTCTCCCTGGTTATTGAAGCTGCGGAAAGCTCCGATATTGCCATTTTATTCACGGGCCATACACCCGCTTGGGGGAACCGAGTGCCTTGATCGGGAAAACCTTGCGCTCTCCAAGGATGGAAGTCAGGATAGGCTTGTCTCGGCTGTCACTGCACGGCTGTTGACAACTGCGCAGGAACGCCAGTCAGTATACCACTTTGCCGGATGATAACCGCAGAGGTGAAGAACACTGGCCTGTCGCCGGAAACGAGGAGGTGCAAATCCATGCTGGATTTACTGAAAGCGCGTCATCGAAAGTCCTGACAAGAACTGTGCGGCTCGCAAAGGCTGAGTTGCGGCCCAGTGACGCCGAGAGAGTTGAGATTACGGTCGATCAGCGCGCACTAACGTACTGGAATGATGCGCAGGGGAAGTGGCCGTGGAAGTTGGGGATTATGTTCTCCATACTGGTACATCGAGTACTTCGACCGATGGGGTAAGACGATTCGTGTTCCCACGGCCTTTTCGTCATCTTTGCTTGATACCTTACCATTCAACCCTAGTTGATATCGGAAAGAGATTTCATGATGCAATGCAATTCATTCTCCGTAGAGGCTTGGACTATCGCTAAAAAGGAAAAAACAAAAATAACTATTTACAAGAATCTTCACACAAATTGTACACTGTGGCTATCTTTTTACAGCTTCTCCTGCCCCTTGCTCTTGCTGAATCGCTCAAACGACGAAACCGGGGGCGCCGAGTTGGGGTTGGGGTGGTGCTTCTTCAGAGCCATCTTGACAGGGTAGTCAAGGTCGAGCGAAGCCTTGGGGTCGTTGGTCTTGGGCTTGAAGTCCACAACGAGATCGTTCTTGACGGCGAACACCGAGTCAATGCCCAGGTGGGGGTCGTCGCTGGGGTAGATCTGGTTGATAACGGTGGCGTAGTCGGGGTGGGTGATCATCAGGTGGATGTGAGCGGGACGCATGGGCGAGCGGTCCATAACATTGAGGAGAACACCGGCGGGACCGTCGGTGGGAAGCGAATAAGGAGTCGGGTGGTAGCAGTACCAGTGGAACTCGCCCTTCTCATTGGAGCGGAACTTGCCGCGGAGGTTGTTCTCGGTCTGGCCGGGGTCTTGGAAGTCATACTGGCCGTTGGCGGAGGCTTGCCAGATGTCAAGGACGGCGCCCTCGATGGGGGCGCCGGTCTCCATGTCGCTGAGCACACCGTGCATGAAGGTGACCTTGCCGTCGGGGTTGGGGTCCTGGATGATGCTGTCACCGAGGGCGCGGAAGGGGGCATTGGGCGACCAGAAGGGGCCGAGAATGACGTTGGAGGTGGGAGTGAGGCCCTCGTCGGTGACGATCTTGTTGGCGATCTCGTCAACGAGCGATTCAAGACCGATCACATCGCAGATACGGTGGCATTCGTTGCGAATGGGAGTGCTGATTTTGCCGATGGAGTTGATGAACTCGACGCCAAGCATCCACTCGGCGGGTGTGAGCTCGACCTCACGAGCAAAGTCGTGGACGTGCTTAATCAGAGAACCCAAGATGACACGAGTGCGCTCAGGGACCTTAGGTCCCATGGCGTTGACGACATAGGGAGTGAAGTCGGGGTCGAACTGGCGGTTGGCGGACATTTTGTAGGGTATAGGATATGTGATATTGAGATGGGTGGAGGAAATGAGTCTTTGGATTGGGAGTGAAGAGAGAACAGGATGAAGAGAAGACTATTGAGGATTGAGGGCTAGATAAATATAAGAACGTGGGCAAGCCGGGGAAGGCGACGGCAATTTTATCGGCTACATGACCATGAGGCAGCTTGCAACGGTGACAAGCTACATGCCGAAGGTTTGATTGACTGATGGCCTCATGTGGCACCGGTCGATCTTAACAGCCGAATGGCGGCAAGTTCCAAATATGAACCAACCGGGGAAAGTGCATTACTCGACAGCGTAACTGGGCATGCTCTCCCGGACTACAGACTACGTTCCACCACTCTCAGGCGCAGATGCCGAACGGAAAAGACCTTAGCCGCCGGCAGTCAACTCTTCCCCCCGCATCCGGAAGAAGATCGGGATGTGGTTCGATCCCGATACAGTATTTAGCAGCGTCGGCATGGAGTATGTAGTCTAACTATATTCTGTGCAGGGGCACCGGGGCAGTCCTGGGGTCCGGGGCAGGGCTTTCATCTTTATTGTCTGGATGTTGGGTGGCGTGTAGATCCAACTCAGCCCTGGGGGAGCTTGACCTGATGCACTCTATTCGGGCACAATTGTACAATTGGTTATGTCTTATCTTAGAAAAACATGGACAATTGCAACCTTGACTTGCTGGTATTAAGCATGCATGCAGCTGCAAGTACAGTTAAACTACTGGCCAATGGATGTATAACAGTCAGATATACAGTATGGATAACAAACTACATCTACTCGAGTATGCTATGTAGAACAGACCAGGTATGGTGTTCTTTTTCTTTTCTTTTCTTTTCTTTTTTTTTTTGCAGGACTCGTGGTAATCGACGACGATGGTATCGTTAAATAATGTACCCTGAGTGCATCGGCAATGGCCAAAACGGCGAGCCGAACCGGAGAATCACTCGGCAGTGGCATAATTCTGTATCGCATACTTATTTTCACATGCCGGCTCTAGTCTCTCTGGACAATAAACAATACACACACTACAGACATAATGAAGCATCATCTTATGGTCGGCACTTGGACGCCTCCGGGGCGTATCTATACTGTGCAATTCGACGACGAGGAGTTGACTCTGACCAAGGTCAAGAAGACGGATATTCCTGAGGATGAGGCGATCTCATGGATGACTTTTTCCGTACGCTGCCCTGTATCAGTGTAGTCAATGTGACCATTCTAACTATACCAGCACGACAAAAAAGCCATATATGGCGCGGCGATGAAGAAATGGAACTCGTTCGCCGTCAACAGCCCGACGGACATTGTCCATCAAGTCTCGCACCCGGTGGCTGGTCACCCTCTGGCAGCTAGTGCAGACACCAACACCAGAGCCATCTTCGTGCTCGCCGCCAAACAACCCCCGTACAATGTCTACGGCAACCCATTCTACAAATACGCTGGCTACGGCAACGTCTTTTCCGTAAAGGACGACGGCAGTCTGGCAGAGAACGTGCAAAACTACGAATATGTCGAAAACACCGGTATCCACGGCATGGTCTTCGATCCTACCGAGACATTCTTGTACTCGGCCGACCTGCAGGCCAACAAGGTCTGGACGCATCGCAAGGATGCTGCGACCGGGCAACTGACGCTCGTGGATTGTCTCGAGGCGCCGTCGCCGGATGACCATCCGCGATGGGTGGAAATCCACCCATCCGGAAAGTATCTGTATGCGTTGATGGAGGCTGGCAATCGGTTGGCCGTGTACGTTTTGGATAGGAACAATGTGCCGGTCTTTACACACATCACCTATCCTTTGTTGCCCGACGGTAAGTCCCATCTCAGTGTATAGCTACTCCGATACTAACGAGGCAGGCCTTCCCCCGCGCAACAAATACCGCGGCGACGTCTGCTTCTGCACCCGCAACGGGCAGTACCTCTTCGCAACCACCCGTTCCAACCATTTCGATGTCACCGGCTACATCACGGCCTTCAAACTGGGCCCGTCCGGCGAAATCGAACGCCAACTCTTCATCCACCCGACTTCGACCAGCGGTGGCCACTCCAACGCAGTCAGCCCGTGCGATTTCAGCGATGAGTGGCTGGCCTTGTGCGATGACCAGCTTGGTTTTGTCGAGATGTATCGCTTCAAGGATGAGAACCTGGCGAGAGTGGCTAGGGTGGATATTCCCGAGAAGGGATTTGGTATGAATGCTATTTGGTATGATTAACGAAATACATAATTGTACTCCGGAGTAGAACACTACCAGAATGAATGATGATGGATGAACGTTACGGAGACTGAAGAATTACCGATCGGTAGTAGAGCTCGGCTTCCGGAAATCTATATAGCCCCTCCCCCGCCCTCATACGTAGTATGTAGTACTCAGAATACAGAGGAACACCAGACATACAACCACCAAAATGGCCGGCCTTCTCTACGTGACGATGCAACCTAAAGCATCGCTCTCTGCCTCCGCTTTCCACGACTGGTACAACAACGAACACGGCCCTCTGCGATTGCGCCTCCCCTTCGTCCCCAATGGCTTCCGCTACCGCGCCGCCGACGCCGCCACCCCCGAATGGCTGGCGTTCTACGATATCAGCGACATGAGCGAGCTCACAAAGGAAACATATCTCGCGCTTCGTGGCGACGGCATCCGCACACAGCGCGAAAAGGACGTGATGGCGCAGATCGACGTCGGGCGGAAACTGTACGATTTCCTCTCGGAGCGGAAAATCGACGGTTACAAACCGGTCGATGCATTGCCGGATCCCGAGGCCGCGGGCATCGTGGCGCTTTCTGTGACTATGACTGTTCAGCCTGAGCAGGAGGAGGAGTTCAACCGCTGGTACGAGGAAGAGCATATCCCCATGTTGGCGAAAGTACCTGGGTGGCGGCGGAGCGTGCGCTACGTCACTGCGGCTATTGATTCGAAGGCGCCGAAGGAGTTTTTGGCGCTGCATGAGTTTGCGGCTGTGAATGGTTTGGGGGGTGCGGAGCATAAGGCGGCTTGCGAGACGGCGTGGAGGGAGAAGATTATGGCGAATGCCGTGACGGGCAAGACGAGGAGGGTCTATCAGTGGTATTACACCTTTGGGCCTGCGCCGCGTGAGCTGTCTACCATTGCTACGCCGGAGACGGGACGGTGGTCGAGCAATGACGGTCGGACTAAGACCTTGCCTGAGCCCCGGGCTGCTGTGGAGTCCTTTGTGACTACTCCTGATGGAGTTGATCTCCCATACCGTCTGGAGGGCAGTGGTGACGACAACTCGCCTGTCATCGTGCTGAGCAATTCGATTCTGGTCGACTGGAGTGTCTGGGACGGCTTCGTGGATAAGTTCCTTTCCAACCCCAAGAACCAGGGCTTCCGTGTTCTGCGGTATTTGACTCGCGGACGTCTTGAGAACGCCGGCGAGACACCAGTCACCATCGACGTCCTGGCAGGCGATATCATCACCCTTCTCGACCACTTGCGTATCCCCACGGCCAGCCTGATCGGTGTCAGTCTGGGAGGCGTGACGGTGATGAACACGGCGCTGCTCCACCCCAACCGCATCAACAAGTTCATCTCCTGCGACACTAACTCCTCGGCGCCCGAGTCCAACCGCAAGGCCTGGAACGACCGTATCGCCATCGCAGAGGCCGAGGGCACCGTGTCCGCGTCTGGTGAGAAGATTGTCGGTGAGCAGCTGGCCGAGGCCACGACCCGCCGGTGGTTCGTTGACGAGTCATACACGACCCAGCCTGAGGTCGCCCGGCACGTCAAGAACGTCGTCGTGAACAACAGTCTCGAGGGATTCCGTCGCGCAGCGCAGGCGCTGTGTGCGTATGATGTGCGGGACCGCATGGCCAATGCGTCTGTCCCGGGACTGTTCGTCGCAGGTAGCGGTGACGGCGTCCTGCCGCAGACGATGAAGAAGATGGCAGAGGATCTCAAGGGCGATGCAGAACTCAAGGTTATCGACAAGGCTGGACACCTGCCTATGGCCGAGCAGCCGGAGCAGTTTACTGAGGTGGTGAATGCGTTCATTCATGCTTGAGCCTTTTGTACAATCCGAACCGTGACCTAACGCCTTGTATCTATATTTATACAGTAAATTATTATGATGATGCTATACATATTCACCCTGCGTAACTTCGACCGTTCGGTTCACTTCGATCGTCCGATGGATCCCCATGCCCAGGCCACTTTCCTCTGCAATGCCCGGTAGCGGCGGTCGCTCCGTCAATTGTTCCTGGCTGGTCCGTTCCCAGTCATCCAGTTCCTCGCCGGGATGTTGGCTCTTCACGGTGGTCACGGTAACGGCCAGTTTATCCGGGCGGAAGCGATGCGGTGCTCCGCTATCCAACGATCCGAGTGGTAGTCGGCGCGATCCGGGGGAGGGGGTATAGCTGCCGCCGTCTTGCGATGAACGAGGAAATAACAGACGTAGAAGAGGACGGAGGGTGGCTAGACTACCGGCGGATATGCCCAGGCCGGTTTCGATGTTCGACCAAACGGCGATTTCGACGGTGGCGTAGAGGAAGTCATTGACTTCCTCAAAGGTGTAGACCCAGGGTATACGGATGATGACTGCTGAGGAGGCACTGCTCTTGTTAGACAGGACGAGGCTGTGTAAGAGGGAATAGCGGACGTACATGCAAGCCATGCCGAGAATACCAACGACAGCCATCTTGGTCTGTCGACGCATACTCAGGTTCCGAACGAGGAAGATGGGCAGAATGCCCACGGTGAAATCACATATCGCCGCAAACGCACTGTACACGTAGGTCATGGCAATGACGATTTGGACGTTCATGCACGATCCAGGGATCGAAGGATCGAGAGCGCTTCTGGTCCAGAAATACTGGAGGGGTTTGCACTGCAGCAGCATGATTAACATGAAAGCCAGACCGCAGATGGCCGTCAGCCCCATCACACAGTACAAGATGTAAATCTGCTCCCGCTTGACTGTAATCCGCAGCAGGAAAATGCAGACCGACACTTTGCACCCGACAGAGGCGAAACAATAGGCGATTTCACAGAACCACCAATATTCCATCGCCGTGACTCGTTGTTGGGCCGTGAGCTCGCTGAAATGCCGTCCGGTACCGTATAAACTGCCCCCGATCATGCTGCCGGAGAACAAGGCATAGAACACCATAGCAATAACCATCGCACCATCATCCCACCCGAACGCCTTGACGATACGCAACCGCACATAACAACGCAGTATCACCGTCACCGCCGCCACGGACATGAAGGTGGCCGCGACGGCTTTGACCTCCAGATTTCGGTCGGTCATTGCATGTCATACCGTTTCCGGTAGAACAACGATGGAAAGATAACAGGTAGAATAGAAGGTGAAGAACGACGAACTGCTGAAGGAAAAGAAGAATTTGCACTGTATTAAGAGAAAAGCGGCAGCAGTGGCCAACCCGCCGCCCAACCGCATGGAACAAAAATAAACGGTGGAGCGTCTGGAGCGTCTGTCATTCCGGAGTTCAGACTAGCGCAGCCGGGGAACGCAGGCCGGCCACCGAGGAGATGATTTTAAGGGCATTGTCAAACCATGTGAAAGCGATTGTTTCAGGAGACCAAGAATCCAACCTGTCTTTCAGCGACGAGTCATGTACTCCGGAGTAGTGTCGAGTTAGTGGACCTAATAGCGTCCCCCCCGAACAGAGTAAAGTATCCGAGCATTTTCCGGGTGTAACCCAATCGAGCCTGTCATGCTTTGGTAGGCTCTGTTAGGGCCAATTGTTGGCGCAGTAAGCGAAATGACAGACAGAGGCTAAAAGGCTGAGCTGGATCGAGGCCTGCTAGTACCCTGTACGATTCAGGGGCTTTTCGGTTGAACGGTTCGATGATGTGCAAGTGCAGAATGCTAGTGCACAATTTTAATATATGCCAAAAGCAAAACGCATATTAGAGACGGCTCGGATTTTTTTATTGATGTTCTGAATCATGTACCCTGCATCCTATCAGGGAATAGAGAAGCTTCTACAGTACGGAGTAGCAAGCCTACTGATCTTGTATCATATACAATGCTGGGCAATGTCGAGGCTACGACACAATGACATATGCCTATATATACCCTCGTCCGCCCGCCATTCCAGACAGCAAACATGTTCAGATACAGAACCCTCGTCCGGTCTATATCCTTCTATGCCCAGGGTACCTGACTATTATTGACCAAAGGAAATGACAATGGCACTAACATACCCAGGAAACCAAGTAAACATCGACCATCTCTACCGCTATAACACCGGCCGCTTCCTGGTCAACGAAGAATATGAACTAGCCAAGCGCTATTCCCCATTCGACATCGATGCACTATGCCGGATCGTCGCGTCGCTGCCGTCTGTCAACTCTCCTGTCTGTCAGGTGGTCAAAAAGGAGGGAGGTTATAATAAGGCGCTACTGATGACGGCGGAGAATGGTCGGATGGTCATAGCGAAAGTGCCTTGCCGGAATATAGTCCCTAGGCAATACGGGACGGCTTCCGAAGTGGCTGTCCTGAGATTCGGTATGCTAGCATCTCCGCTGTAGGAATCCGCTAAGAAGCAGTCAAATACCACTCCCCTACCCCTGTGTCCGAAGTCCTGGCCTGGAGCGCCAATGGCGACAACCCTACGCGTACAGAGTACATCATTCTCGACCCGTCGCCTGGCCTGCAGCTATCCGAAGTCTGGGATGATCTCGAAGAGCCACAGAAATCAATCCTCGTGCGCAAATTCGCAGAGCTCGAAAGTAACCTTGCTGCCGTTGCCTTTCCGGGCTATGGTTCCCTATACTTCCGTAATGCGCTCCCTGCAGCCCTGCAGGAGTCAAAACACCGTATCATCGACGTGGACGAAACGTATTGTCTGGGGCCAATGTACCACGGATCCTGGCCGGGAGGATTTGCCGCAGATCCGGAACACTACGCCCAATTTTCAGGACCATGTATCACGCCCAACCCTGTAGTCTTGCCGCCGCTAACAACGCAGGGAAATCGTTAACCGCGCTTGCCCACGACTTCGTTAATCAAGGCATATTCCAAATCGAACACTACAAGTCCTCCTACGCCGGGCGCGGGCCCCACTTTGGCACACCGGAAGAGCACATCGGCACTCTTCACAAAGCAAAGGAGGTTATGCCCCTTCTCACCGAACTACCAGCCTTGGAACGACACGGCGGGCCAGTTCTCTGCCACCCCGACTTTCATCCAGGGAATATCTTCGTGTGTCGACAGGATCCGACCAGAGTAGATGGCATTGTAGACTGGCAGTATGCTAATATTCTGCCACGTTTTATGAACGTGCGCTGGCCGTTGTTTCTGACCATGGGCTGCGACGCCGAAGACGGAGTTGGACAGGAGGACGCCATGTGTGAGGCGCAACGGAGGCACGAGGAAGCTATGCGGATTAAATGCTACGAGGCTGCACTGGTCAAGTCGCATATGGAGCCGTATCTGGACCTGCCTGAGCCGGACGTCGCAGTTCGGAAACTCTTCACGCTCTGCACAGATACGTATCGAGACGGCATCCTCCCCGTTCGCGACTGCCTGGTCAAGCTCTTTCAATACTGGAAGCAGTTGGGTCTGTCGAAAGAATGCCCGTATCACTTTTCCGCGGCCGAGATCGCACAGCACGAGGGGCAATGGACCGAGTATCAGGATTGGCTCACCTTGCGGGAGTCTACGCATGAACTGCTCAAGTCGAATGATGGGGGATGGATACCGCCTGGTGTTGACTTCGAGGAGGCGAAGAATCGGCATCAGATGCTGTATGAGCATTTCATTAGGACGAAGACGAAAGATATGCCGGAAAAGGAGGCAAGGAAGCTGTGGTTCTTTAGAGAAAGGGGGTAGCTGCATTAAGAAAAACTTTTATTGTTCGTATATACAGCTAGTCATAAACTCATCATGCTTCATTTGCAGTACTGTTTGCCAATTCCTTCTGAACCTTGGCCTTCTTGCCCTTCTTGTAGACTCGTTCGTCATTGGGATCGAATCCTCCATTGCCCCAGAGAGCCCATTCTGTTGTCTCATCCATGTAATCCTCCGGGGCGAACGAGGTTCCATCCGCTTTCTCCTTCTCGAGAAGTTCAAAGAATCGCTCGTAGTTAATGCGCGTGTTCCATTTTCCGTTTACATGGAAGCGTTCAGATGCCAGCAACACACAGCAGCTGTGGGCGTGTTCCGCCGCAAGACCATACTTGAGTCCTCGTCGCTCAAGTTCCTCGTTCAGGGCGAGGACGAATTCGGTGATTTCTTCGTAGAAAGGAACGTTTTGCATGGTCAACCCCGCGCCGGCGCTCGTGCTGGTACCGCAGTAGGTCACACCCTTGATCTCGACAAAGCAAGGCAGTGCCTTTTCAACCAGGTTGGCGTATCCGATCACCTCATCCTCGACGTTGAATCCCTTGACCAGAGTAAGACGGAAAACGGTCCGCTGCACATTGCGCTTCTCCCGCAGAATGTCAAGGCAGCGCTGGAATCGCTCCCAGAAATCACGGTGCAGCGGTCGGTCAATCTTCCGCAGACTTTCCCGGTTACTGGCGTCGATCGATACATATAGCTGAGTCACACGGTGAAGGGTCTCCAGTTGGTCGGGGTGCTGCGCGTTGCACACCAAGAAACTTGAAATGCGTTCGCTGTGCAACAGATCCAGGAATCGGTTAATGTGAGGGTAAAAGATCGGTTCGCCGACCAGACTCAGTGCGCAGTGTCGGATCCGCATCGCCTCTGCAAAACGCTCCGCTCGTACACCGGGCACTCCGCGTAGCATCTTAATCTTCTTGTAGTGGCCATCCTTGACACCATCGAAGATCATGTCCGGGTCGTCGACCTTCCATCGCCAAGTCGTTCCGACCGGGTTTGTTCCGTGGCGCCAGCAGAATACACACTTGTTACTGCAAGAGAGCGACGGCGTAGCCTCCATGCAGAGATGCGATTTGATACCGTAGAAGGAAAACTTGTAGCACGAACCACGGCCACGCAGAGCAGACTTGGTCCAACGGCAAATTTTGACACCGGAATGCGAGCCAACAATCGAGTAACCTTGTTTTGTCAGAGAAGCATACGTAGGCGATGTCTTTGGCACCATCTCCTTGGCCTGCGGCTCTGACTTTCCTCCAGTCGTGAAATCAACTGCGAGAGGCGCCGGGCTATCAGGGTTCACCTTGATATCCTCAAGGTCCACAACCGATTGACTTTGGCCTTTACCACGCTTGCTCTTGGGTTTCGCGACATCGGTTTCATTTTCGTCATCAAAGTCTTCTTCGTCGCTTTCCAATGGATCACCACTGCCGGGAACGCCTTCACCAAGACCGCCGTTCTGCAGAATATCGTACAGAATATCCTGCAGTCCGTGCGACCATTCCTTCAGCGCTTGTTCAGCATTGCTCTTGACATCACCCAGTCCCAGTGGGAAAGCTCTCTTTTTCCCGGTCAGTTTGGCCATCCATCGGTCCAGTTCCTTGGCCTGTGAGCAGTACCCTTCTTCCTCGGTCGGCCATCCTTCCTTGTCGCCAAAACCAAAGACTGAAAATCCAGCGAGCTGAGAGAGCGATCCAGTGTCGATACGGAAATCGTGGTGTGTCTCATCCAGGTGACCCAGGAAGGTGTTCAGTACGGTGTCAATGTTGTATGTCGGAATCAACAGACAATATACGTAGCGGGTTCCAGGCGAAGTCGACGGCGGCTTGGGTGCGGAAGTAAAGAAGTCGTCGAGATCGACGTAGGCCAGATCGTGCAGCTGAGGGGGAAGAAGACCTCTTTCACGGTTCTCGGGGTCGGCCCGGTTCTGTGCCGCGGCACGCAGTTCCTCCACAAACATGTGGGCATACCTCTCGGTCGTACCAGTCAACGAGGCGAAGAACACAATCGGCTGGATAAAGGACAAGGGCGGTGTTTCATCGGAACCACCGCGTTTTCCACCTTTGACCGGCTTTTTACCAGTCACCACCTTTGGACCGGTGGACTTGCTGACCGCCGGAGGCTCCTTCTTTGTTCCATCACTGACCGGAATCTTCTCGCTCTTCTCAGGGGAATGGCTTCGAGGGGAGGGGGGGAGGGACGAGGACGCTTCGGTTTTGAACTTGGGTTGAAGTTTGCGGTAGGCTTGGACGAAGACAAACAGAGTGGACAGGGTTATGAGGATAGGTAGACGGTAGGCGTGCCAGAAGACGACGACACCTGAGTTTATTAGCCAGTGCCAGTCATTGTGTAGGTTGAACTGCATACCTTCTAGCATAGCACTTGAACAGTCCATAATGCAGTAAGACTCCGTGCGCTCGGAGATTAGAACAAGGACGGGCTGAAAGAGGCCTGGATAGGCATCGCAGTTGGACAGGAGAATCTCTGCTTATACTGCCGGCATCAATTTTCCTTTACTAGATATATCAGCAGAACTAGTAGTGTTGATAACTCTGGTAGAAACGAAAGAATGTGGAATTTTTTGCGTTTGCAATACCCAGTGCTGATTGGATCCCGCACTGATCAGTCAGCGTGTGCCATTCTGCCGGAGATATATTCTCCCCGCCGTGTTCTCCGCCTTATGCCTTCCTAATCGGGGTGTCTACACTGACGACACTGAGTGAGAATATCTGCACTTCACTTCGACTTCCTGACCTTGGCAATAAGCAGCCCCAACTCAGATGTGACCGAAACCACTAAAAGGCATTTATTGTCGGGGCTGATGGCGCAATTGCACAGTGCAAGTACCCCGAACAGCTAGCGTCATGCAGCCGAGAGCTGAACCCGGCCTTCCCTCCTCGTTGCGGTTTCACCAGCCTACCAGACGTTACCACCGTTGATTGCGCAAATACGCCAAGCAGAAAATGACCGATGAGAAAGGCCATCTTTTAGAGGAGGGCTCTCAAGAGTCAGCTGTCAATGAGCAGCAGCATCACATCTCGACATCAACCAGCCCAACCAATTCAACCAGCAGAATGGGCCGGTTCGCGTTTATCCTCTTCCTCATGGGTCTGTTGACCTTTAACAATGTACGCTCGCAGGAGGCTCCGAGTATCGAGCAGAGAGTGGACAGGATCTTGTCGGAAACGCCGTTGATCGGTAGGTACAAGCATGTTTACCAGATGCTGAAGTCAGTTAACCGCGATAGATGGCCACGATGACCTTCCCATCCTCGTTCGTATGAATTATAATAATCGCATCTATGGCGACAACTTCACCTCACCATTTATCAACGGCTCATTGACCGGGCATGTCGACCTTCCGCGGTTGTCCAAGGGTAAAGTGGGTGGTACATTCTGGAGTGTCTTTGTGGAGTGTCCTAAGGATGGACTGGACTGGTCGGATGAGAACTATGCTACGAGTAGGTGACTGTCCTTCTTATCTTATTCTCCGCTAACAGGCTAGGCCTCCGTCAAACCTTTGAGCAGGTCGATGTCATGTCGCGCATACAAAACGCCTATCCCAATGTCTTCTCGAGCCCGCCAAACGGTACAACTGCACTGCAAGCCTTCCGGGATGGGAAGATCATTTCGCCGCTGGGAATCGAGGGCCTTCATTCGATCGGAAACTCCCTGGCGCATTTGCGTGATTTCTACAAGCTGGGCGTATCATATGCCACCCTCACCCATAACTGTCACAACCGCTACGCCGATGCAGCGGTGCAGGAGACCTCAAACGGGGGCAGCAAGAAGGCTGATCCGTATTGGCATGGGATTAGCGAATCTGGGAAGAACCTCGTGCTCGAGATGAATCGTCTCGGGATGATCGTCGACTTGGCTCATGTGAGTGCAGATACAATGAGGGATGTCCTTGGTGCTGGCAAAGATGACTGGACTGGCAGTCGGGCGCCGATTATTTTCAGTCATAGCTCTGCGTATGCCGTTTGTCCACACCCGCGCAACGTTCCGGACGATGTCTTGCAACTGGTCAAGCAACGAAACTCGCTTGTTATGGTCAACTTTGCTCCTGATTTCGTTTCTTGCAAGGCCATCAATATTACCAACGGAATCCCAGAGTTTGATCCCGAGAATTCTACGTTGGAGCACGTTGTTGACCACATCATACACATTGGACAGTTGATTGGCTTTGACCATGTTGGCCTGGGAAGTGATTTCGACGGAATTGCAAGAGTCCCTCGGGGCCTAGAGGATGTGTCCAAGTTTCCCGACTTGATTGCGGAGTTGCTGAAGAGAGGTATCAGTGATGACGATGCTGCCAAGGTGGTTGGAGGCAATCTGTTGCGGGTGTGGAAGGATGTTGATGAAGTTGCTCTTCAGCTTCAGGCCGAGGGTACTCTTCCGGTGGAGGACTAAACTTGTATTGAATAGCATAACGACATGTGTCTACCTACTGTTTAGATGCGTTACCATCTCGAACCCCTTAAGAAGATTTGTTCCCATCTGGTTCACAAATCGATAAGGCCCTCTTTTCTCCAATCCCTCTCGTACCTCCTCTTCCGTCGCCCACGCGTAATCCTGATGCTCTCCCTCTGCTAACTTGACACCCTCTTCCCATCGCTTCTGAATCGCCCCCCCAGAAACCTCCCCTATCCCCTCCGTAGCATCCCCAATGCTAGTACCAGCCTCATGAACCTCGACCAAAAACGTAAACTTAGCAACCACATGCAATCCATCTAGCTTCATCCTCGCCCACTCCTCAACGGCCACTAAATCCAAAAACCTCGATACATGCAACCCGCTCTCCTCAAGAACTTCCCTCGCCGCACCTTCTAGAACCGTCCGATCCGTAGCCGGGTCAAGACCACCACCAGGGCCTTCCCAGTATCCGCCAAAGGAGTCGGAGAGGCTGCGTTGAAGGAGGAGGACCTTCGCTTCTGGTGTCTCTGTACTGGCTGTTTCTTCACGAGGCGGGACGGAGAAGATGAAGCCACCGACGCCGAAGTCGGTGAAGCCGGGCTTGGTGGCGGAGAAGGTGGGAAGATCGGTGTTGAAGGGGGCTAGATGGGGAGCGAATGTGAAGGATGTCATGTTGCCAGGTATTTTGAGATGGCGCCTGGCTCAATCTGGTGATGTTATCAAATGTGAGGGATAAGCTGCTACTCATTGATATACAGTCCAATCGGTCTGTAGGGTACTTACGATGAATAACGCCAATGATGGTAGCTTTGTCCGTTAAAGATGGTTGTATCATGATACTACAGCAAATCGGATATCAAGAAAAAACAAACTCGCTAAGCATGTCATGTGATATCGAATGCATATACGATGCTCCAAAACCCCCTACAACTTACTTCCAGGCAGATCCTTTTCCTGCGGAAGCATGAATCCTCCAAAGAACTTCCCAATCTCCTCATATTCATCCAGACTCATGACCGCGGATACATCTGCTTCGTCAGTGCTTATCATTGCACTCGGGCTGGGGAAAAACATACATTGATCCGGACGAACAATGGCAAGAGCTCCCTCGCCAGGACTGATACCAAGGAACTCATAAGCGTGTCCGTGGCCTTGGTTGTAGCTCTCGTCGTCGAATAAGATCTTGTGAAGATCTCTGACTTGGTTCTTGCCGGTTGAGGGGTAGAAAAAGTCAGGAATCTGCGCGAGTTCAACGTCATGGCGCTTGCCGTGACTGACGAGGATTGTTTCGATAATGCTGTCGGCGTCGGAGCCAGGGGGCGTGAAGGTTTTGATGGGGCCTTCGTTGGAGCCGAGGTAGTCTCCCAGCTGTTCTTGTTAGCGATGTACTGCAAAATACAGGGAGGGACATACCGCATTCAACCGCGCTTGGTTCTTCTGGACAGTAAGATCACCAGTAAAAGCCATGACTCGCCAGCGGCCATCCGACTTCAAAGACTTGGCTAGTTGCATCGGCTGCGAGTCACAGTACCGCACAACCTGAGCGCTAGGCAATCTCATGCCAACGGTGACATTCGATGCCAGCCGCGCCGACTCATCAACAGCAGAGGTAATAGGCGACCGATCATATTTCGCCGTAAGTCCAGCCGTGTACTTTCCAGATTTGACAAAGCCCTCTTGGAACTCGGCCGGCGAAGTCCCTGGTCCAGACGAGAAGAGCTTGGAGAAGTACCGATCGAAGTTGATCAAATCGATAGCTACCTTTTGTCTTTCCAGCACATAGGTCTCCAGCAACGATGGCTTGGCTAGACCGGTCAACACGGAGGCCAGTTTCCAGCCCATGTTGTAGCCATCCTGCAGACTGACGTTCATGCCCTGGCCAGCCTTGGGCGAGTGCGTGTGGCATGCGTCGCCGGCAAGGAAGACACGCTGGTCCTTTTGGAAGTTGTCTGCGTGGCGCTGACCAATGGCGTACGCAGACCACCACACCGTCTCGGTGAATTCAACCTTGTACGGATTGAGGATGTTCTGCGCTGTCTTTTGCAGGTCCTCCAGTCTGACTTCTTTGGCGTTGGTCCCGGCAGGAAGTTCGATGTAGAAGCGGGTTAGGTTGTTACTCTCTCCTTCGCGGGGGATGATCAACAGGTTGCCAGCGTTGGTTCGGATAGTGGCTTTCTTGCGAATGTCGGGGAAGTCCGTTCGGGGGACCATGTCCATTACACCCCAGACAGCGTCGCTGCTGTCGCCGATCATGGTGTATCCAAGTGCTTTGCGGACGATGCTGTGTGCACCGTCGCAGGCCTGTCGGTCAGTTAGTATCCCATGCCCAACAGTACTTGCAACGAAGCATACCATAACATATTTCGCCTCAAACTCCTCTGTCTTCCCATCCTTATCCGCAGTAACCTTGACTGGATACGCACCCGCATCAGCAGCCAATGCACTATCCACCTGGACATTCCGGACATTATACCCGTAGTCGATCTCCTGCCCGTTCCACTTGTGCATCAACTCAATAAGCAACATGTTGATCCGTGCCTGGTTCAAGATAACATGAGGCTGATGCGATAACCCAGACTGCGTATCAGCCGTCCTGCCCGTCCGTCGAATACCACTCGAACCCTCCTGGTCCGCCCAAAACACGACCTCGAGCACATGGTACGACTCGCGCAGCAGTTCCTCCCCAATCCCAAAACTCTCGAAGATCTCGACAGTCCGGCACTGGACACCGTCTGCCTGGCCAAGTTTCATGGGGCCATCGCGACGTTCTAGGATCTTGCACGTGAGACCATACCGGGCGAGCCATGTCGCGGCGCAGAGGCCGGCGGAACCGCTACCGCAGATGAGGACGTCGACTTTGGTCATGTTGTTTGTGGTCATGTTGTTTGTTTTTTGAAGTTGACAGGGGGCGACATGGTGGATACGAGGATCTTAAATGTTATCCTATGCATCGCATCTTGGTTCTTTATAGGTCTCGATTCGGAGACCGCGGTAACTGAACGCTGGATCGCTGCCGAGCAGCTGGGCGCTCGGCTATCTACGTTCGGTATTGAGGTGGCAATGAAGGAGCCGATAATACGGAATATGGTATCTTCAAGCGAATGTTTTGTTTTGTTTGTAGCTGCCATTGTCGTTCATGTTGAGCGCGGGGGTAGATCGGGATCATTCCCCTCGGAAAACAACATTATCCGGAAAGGCATGTTATTTCACTGCCGATCCGGAATTGAATATCAGAATGGCCTGCCGGTAGTGAATATGTGGATACACGAAGACATCTTGGAAGAAACTGGACGGCTGACTGAGTGAAGCTGTTCTATATTCTGAAGCAGTGATATATATATCTCTCTCGCCACTACACAGACCGGACAAGTGCTAGACTTGGGTATTCAATTGACCATACTAAAGCATCGTAAAACATCATTATGATCTAGATCGTTATATATTCCGACCAGAAGCCCCCGACTTCCTTTCCCAACGCCCGCGCCGGTAAGACAAGGCTCGCTCATGATCAGATCCAAAGACTGAAAAGATGAAAGACATAACACATATGCTGGATATTTTACAAAAAGTACTCGCTCCGCCCTGGCCGTGACGTCGGAACATGCCGTTGGTCGTCGCTGACTGCGCTGAAGAGCTTGAAGGTTGGTTTAAGGTCTTCGCCTATTTCGCAGACGGAGGCGAGATTGCCGCAGCGGTAGCAGTAGTTCGGGGCACTCCACACGGTCACCACGTTCTGGTTTTGGAAGTGGTATTTGTAGCCTTCGTTGACCAGTTGATGTGCACGTGCGATCAGGGTTAGGTCGTTGACATGGCAGAATTCGTCTGCCACTTTGTCTCCGAATAGCCAGCCTAGTCATGTTAGAAACAGTCGTCAAGTGATGCTCAGGGGCCACGTACCAGCTCCTCTAGGACTGACGGCCCAGGTCTGCACTTCGTCCGGATCCGACCAGACCAAGTCGCAGAAAGCACCCTCGTGGGGGATCTCCTGCGCTCGTGCCACTACGCGCACCTGATCCAACGTTCTGATCTCCGGACTCAGACCTCCATGAACACACAGCACTCTTCCATCAATAATGGCGCCCAGTGTCATGAAGTCGAATACCTGGCAGCAGGCCTTCCATACAGAAGCATTTCCGTATTTCTGAAAGCACTCCTCGTAGAAACCGTATACCTGTGTGATCTGACGGGACTCGTGGTTGCCGCGGACTAGCGTCACCCGGTCTGGGAATCTGGAAAGTTAGCACTTCTGTCCTGGTCTGGGAGCGAAAGAAACTCACTTCGCCTTCAAACACAAGAGCAGCGTCAACGTCTCCAAACTGAAGTATCCCCGATCAACGTAGTCCCCTAGAAACACGAAATTATTCTTCAACCGAATCTCCCCCGACCCCTCACTCCCGGACCGACTCCTGGACCCGATGTCCTCCTCATTATCTGCTGACTTTGCGTTCCTCAGCTTCTTTCTCAGTTTCGGGTCTGAAATCGACGAAGGTGGCTCGATATCGTCCGAAGTAATCACGGATGGAGAGGTCTTGGGTGGATCGGCATCGTACTCGTCAGGCATCCCCCCTGCGACTCGAAAGAGCTCGAGGACATCGTAGAACTGGCCGTGGATATCTCCGCAGATGGTGACGGGCGTGGAAACGGGTTGGATGTTGGATTCTACCATAGTTAGTTCAGGACTTATGATAGCCCCCCAACGGACTTACCCTCCATCATAAACTCCTTGACAATCTCGCATAGCTGCTTCATGTGCGTCTCTGAGAGGTATTTGCAGTTCTTCGCTGCCTCGAGCCATTCATCCGGACCTGCATTTGGCTTCAATTTGGCTGGTCCCGGCTGGGGGACACTGTCTGCCATGTTGGGAGATTGATGTGAGTAGAGAGGTATGCAACGACAGCAGTAGACAAGTATCAAAAAGAAAGGAATCTATACAAATGTGAATATAGGAGTGGACATTCCCCGCGGGCGGTGGTTGAGGTCGAGACTCGCGTGCTTGGTGGCCCTGCGATGCCGTAATTTGCCTCCGCTATCTTTATCTCACCCCGGCCTTATTCCTTACAAACACACAGCAGCTCTACTGTTTCTATGGCAGCATGACCCAAACCGGTAAATCAACTGGAGGCGTCCTCCAAATCCCCGCAGCGGCCACCCAAAAGAACGCGCCCGCGAAAAAGGCCCCGAAGCCTCCTGCCCCTCGTCTGAAACTGCTAGTGAGACGACTGCCCCCGGGCCTGACGGAGGAGGAGTTTAGAAATGCAGTGGGAGAGGAGTGGACTGCTGGTGTTGGCAAGGTCGACTGGTTTCAGTACAGACCTGGCAAGGTGTCCAAGGAGTGAGTCGTCGCAGGTTTATATAACTACAAAACTACGGAAACTAATAAAGACAGCCCTGCGAAACCCTCTCGACCGTCGCGCGCCTACATCCACGTCGCTTCGAGTGATCACATTGCGCCTCTTGCTGACAAGGTCCGTCAGACGTCGTTCTTAGATGCACAGAATACAGCCAACGACCCGATTCTCTTGGGCCCTCCGTCAGTGGAATTTGCGCCATATGCCAAAATACCCGGCAATCGTGTGCGGAAAGATGCCCGTCAAGGGACTATCGATCAGGATCCCGATTTCTTCGCGTTCCTCGAGAGCCTGACACAGCCGATTACAAAACCGTCTGTTGAGTCGACTGAGTCGGAGGAGAAGAAGGAGACAATGACTACGACGCCGTTGGTGCAATACATCAAGGACAAGAAGGCGAACAAGGCCAAGGAGCAGACTTCTTCCAAGTCATCCAGAAAGTCCGAGAAAGAGGCCAAGCCGGAGAAGGTGCAGACGAAGAAACTTCTACAGCGTTCGGATCGTGAAACTGCGTCACCAGGTACGGAAAAGACGGAGAAGAGGTCGAAGTCCGACAAGGCGACCAAGGAAGCTGTCAAGGCGGCCAACAAAGCTGCCAACGTTGCAGCCAAACAGTCCGGAAGAGCAACACCAACCGCCAAAGAGGCGCCTACGGCCCCAGCTTCGGAGCGGAAGAGAGAACGCGGGAACGCTGCTGCTGCGGCCAAGATCCTCCAGCGAGATCTGGGACTGTCTTCATCGGGCGGTCGTCGGAAGGGTGGAAAGGGTTCTGAGGCTGATACGAAGAAGGAAAATGTTCCCAGCACCCCGACAGAGTCCAGCAAGAAGGAACCGGCGAAACCTCCCAAACAGCCCAAGGGCAAAGCCAGCGAGACGACACCTCAACCCAGCGAACCGTCCACCCCTCAAACCCAGGCCACGCCTCCGCCCACTGCGCCTGCAGCGACCAAGACGACTAAACCGTCAAAAGGAAAACAGGCAACTGCCACACCCAGCGCTACTTCTACGCAAGCCTTTCTCAAGCACGCCAACCCATCGCAAGGAGTCACGGAACCGCTATTGGAAACAGCGTTTTCACCATTTGGCAAGGTCGTGTCGGTAGAGATTGATAAGAAGAAGGGATTCGGATATGTGGACTTTGCCGAGCCGACTAGCTTGCAAAAGGCTATTGCAGCTAGTCCGGTGACGGTGGCGCAGAGTCAGGTGGTGGTGTTGGAGCGGAAGACGAACCCTGGAGGCGACAAGCCACGCAAAGGGCGTGGAGGAGCAGGAGCAGCAGCTGGTGGAGAGCAAGCGGCCGCTACCAGCGGCAACAGCAATAATAACGGTAGTGCGCGTGGGGGAAAGCCTGAAGGAAGCGGCGGTGGAGGATCATCTCGTGGACGGGGAGGACGAGGAAGGAATAGAGGGAATAAGCCAGAGAAGAAGGCATAGTGGACAATAGTACAGAGTAATACTCTTGACATGAGACGTTGACCAGGACTACTCCAGGGCTGGAAAGGTGGATGTCAAACTGCTGTCACATGACCACATAATACTCAATAGTATGAGTGTATTAAAAAATTTTGCAAGTTTTGTACCAGAAAATTAGAAATGTACGAGAACAGTGTTCAAATAAAGAAAATGCATTCAACTATATAACATTTCCTTTTCCTCATTTGCATCGCACGCTCAGCAAGTAGAAAATAGGAAAAAACCTTTCAGACCTCCTCGACGCCCACCAAGACCGACCGACCGAAGTCAAGACATCGAGACTAGGTAAAGATCATCACCACTCCCTGGACCAAAGACAAAACCACAACAGCCAGACCCAAACTCGCTCCGAAGAACAAGATGTGTCAAAGCCGGCGTAATGCACGGTCGAGGCGGAAGTACACGGCTTCACTTTAGGGCATCGAGGACATAGCAGTCATCAGCAAGGGTGGAGATTCTGTGGCTCTTTAGAAGAGCTCAGAGGTGGGACGTCTACTCTAAAGTGATTCTTTGAACTGTTCATGTTGTTAGCAGGGTTACTCTTTTCCAAGGCTAGAAGCCAAGGTAGGGGAGGGGATCACTAACGTAGAGTCGCTTAGTTTTCTCAAGGGTCGAGGGGAGAGGCCTTCTTATACGGTTTCCCAGAGTCTAGCGCCGCGCTAACCACAAGCGAGCGTTGCCGAGTTTGTCGTGTTTGGTTTGCTAGCAGGCCAATCAGAGAGTTGGTGGTAAAAAACTTTTTAGACCCACTGGCAGAAAACTCTGCGCGGCTCCATCGGGACGGAGAAACCCAGAGGAGTGGATTTTTCCGTTTGCACGTGACTCAAATACAGTCTAACCGTTTACGAAGAGATACTCCGCCACGGAGTAACATTCCCCGCCGGACTGATAAGCCGGGGGTCGACGCGTTGGTCTACCGCGGATACAAGGTTAAGCGCAAGGTGAGCTCTGTCAGCTAACACGGTGTACGGTCTACTCTATACTCTGTACTCAATTACAAGAAGGAATGCTGACCTAGTCTTACAGTAATAGCACTGCTGAGAAGGATCGTGCTAACCTCGCATGCAGCGTGGGATGCCGCCCCCAGCACAGTGGCTTTGAACGAACTCGATCGACAGCACGCTATTGTTTCACCCCAGATAAGATGGATAAAATGTGAATGACCGCAACACGCGTCGATTGCCATCCGCATCGCTGCCATGCCACGTCCAAGGGTCTCGCCCGCTCATCGTCTCCGCGCCTACGCGGCCTGCCTCGCCTGTCGAACCTCCAAGAGACGATGTTCAGGGACCTTTCCCTGTCCGAATTGTGTCCATCGCGGACAAGCTGACACCTGCGTCCCTTGCCCGCGCGATCCTTCCGCTCCCCAGATTCGATATCAACCGTATCCCACGACGGTGACGACAACGGGGCCGAGCACGGCCAATCCGGACATCGGGGCTCAGTCCCCTGCATCGATTCAGAGCTCCCATTCGCACGGACTAGATCCACCCTCAGCGGGTGCTCAGCATAGAACCCATCCCCGGATGCTGTGGAACCGTCAGGGAGAGCGAGGTATGGAGTATGCGTGTCGAATGAAAGCGTAATCGCCGGCTGATAGTTCAAGTCTACGTGGGCAAGGCGGCGTCGTTGTCATTCCTGCAGCTGCTCCGCGATACCGTCACGCAGCATATCGGACCGTCCCAATTCTCTCACAATGTCAAAAGCGAGGACATGCTCGAAACGGAGTCCCTGCACCATATTCCAGCAGCGGTCGATGATCGTCTCGACTTATCTCGGAAAGAAGCCTTTATCCGTGCCTATCTTACAGCGGTTAGCTCTAACCCATGTTGCCCCAGCCACCTTAAACATGGACTCTGACAGACCTAGACAAGTGGCTTCCTTTACGTCATCTCCGAATCGGAGGCCCTGCAGATGCTGACGGAGTCCTTCGAGGCTGACAAGGAGCGGGAGAATACCCGTCAGGCCTTCAGGGACGTCATGATCGCCATTGGTGCGCAATCATGCAAAAGCGATCCGACAACTGTCCAAGCAGAACGCTTCTTTTTCGCTCGAGGACAGCGTAGAGCGTTCTCCAGCATGTTGGAGACTCCCAGTCTCGAGTTAGTGCGGTTGTTCCTTTGCATGTCGTTTTACATGCTCGGAGCATGTCGTAGAAATGCTGCCTTTATGTATGTCGGTGTGGCGGCCCGAGCAGCCGTGGCCCTGGGTCTGCATCAAACCGGTCTGTCCAGCTCAATGACCGCAAATGAGCAGCAACAGAGGTAGGCCCCATTCGAACCAGTAAGATCGTCAGTCTCTAATATCTGTAGAGCGCGAGTGTGGATGAGCCTTTGTGTTCTCGACCTCTTGGTCAGTTCGATCCTCGGACGCCCGCCTGCAACGTCTACTGTGCAGCTCGAGTGTGGGCAATTTCCACCCAATCTTGACCTGCTTAGCAGTCGGATGGACGCAAGTCTTGTTGCCTCATATCGCATGTCGCTAATACTGGACGAGATCACCAGACAACTGTATAGCGAAAGGGCCGCATCTGCAGACGTAGCAGAGTCGCTGCTGGCTAAGTTAACTCGATGGAGCGGCCAACTGCCAGAGTCACTGCTAGCGCCACCGGGTGATGGGCAGGACCATGCCGCTGCTCAGAAGCAGATCATAAGCAGCTTACATGTTGCATGCTTTTACCACTTCGCTGTAATTGTCGTTACGCGGCCATTTCTGGTGTCTGTTCTTGGTGTTCGATTGGCACGAGTACACCAGGGCCTGTCAGCGTCTGACCATGTGAGACCGGAGGAGGACCCGGCACATTCCAAGCTCTCAGTGGCTTGTGTGGATTCAGCGGTCTACATGATCCAGACGTGCTTGGAAATACACCAGTCACAGTTACTTTTGAACAACATGTGCTTATTGAAGTGAGTCGAATCGCCTTAGTAAGGAACTCGAGCTAATGATGTAGGGCCTTCATCTTTGCTGCGGCATTGGTTGTCGGATTCTCCATGTTCTCGCAGAAGGAAGTAGATTCCGCCCTAGACTCCGCATTCAACGGAGCTCTCGACATCCTCCGCATGCTCTCACAACAATCCGCGCAGGCGGTGCATTACCTTGAGATCCTCACGTTTCTATTGACAGCGATCACTGAGCAACGTCAGCGTCTAGCCTCACAGAGCCGACATAGTAGGAGTCAATATGTGAGTAAACTGTTCAGCCTGCACGGACGCCGCTCCCCCGAGCCCCAGGAGACGGAATCGTCTGGTGTCTCTCTGCTGGCATCGCAGAGCACCGTTGCACACTCAGACGAACAGGCCGATCGGTCCTTGACAATGCCAGCTGATATTGACGATGCGTTTTCGGGCTGGGAGGGGATGGAGTTGCCACTGTGGGACAGTTTTCCGTACATTGCAGAGCCGTTCCAGTTGCAGGATAGGACAAATGAGGGGAATAATTAGCATGCAGCTACAATGAGCGGTGCACCTTTAACTGTCAAGATTGTGGTGATTTTCAAGCCCGTACGTAGTGACTCCCGAAAACTATTTCCTTCAGCTCCATGCATGCCACAATAGATGCCAGCTGAAGACCCCAAATTACTTTTTTCGGGCACAGGAAGCAATAATCTCTCAGCTATGGAGTAATCCGTACTCCGTTCGGTGTTGTGTTCGGCTAGCCAAGAGGCAGGGGTTCTGTACGGAATTGTCTAGACAGATAAACCAGCTCGATTCTCATATATTTTTCTTCCCAACCATCAGCTTGTTCTGCACAAGAAAGAATCAACTACCGGAAACCAATCTGCTCGATCAAGTGGGCTTCCGTCTTCCTCATTGTGACGGAGCTAACTCTGGCAAAGCCACCATGCGTCTCGCAATCGTCTCACTTCTGGCCCTCGTTACGGCCGTTGCTGCCACCGTAGTCCCCGACGCCAATGAACTGGAAAGCCTTGCGCGTCCACGAACCATACCGTGCCTAGATGGCGGTATGTGGGGTATAGACGTGGGTCACTAGGTCACCAGTCTGCACTTGGACGACAAGCGATACTGCAACAAACCCTCAACCAATGCCAGATCCGCTCCTCCGATGGCTCCTACATTGCCGACGAGGTCTGCGCCTCGACTTACTGCACAGATGGGAAATGCGCCGAATCCGCCCAGGGAAAGCCGTGCGACAGCGCCAAAGACTGTGCCTTTCGCCCTGGGAGCGTTGACGTCCCCTGGCTCTGCCCGGCCGACAAAAAGATTTGCCACCAAAAGCAACTTGCGACCGGCAAATCCTGCACCGACAATGAGGAGTGCCTTCATAACCAGTGCACTAATGCCAAGTTACGCGACCCGCGGGTACGGAATTTTTCGAATGCGACAATGACTCCCAGTGCAAGTCAGACTTGGTCTGTCGATATGCATAGTTCGGGAGTGAGAAGCAAAAGCAATGCTCTCCACCCCCGGAGCCAAGAGTGATTGCTTTTCAGCTAACTGTGGAATTAATGGAGAGAACTTCTATGCGAACAGGGGTCCAACGTGTGGCGCCAGGCCTTGCTTGCTTGAGGAGTAAGCAATGCTGCTCTGGCAACTGTAAGCTTGTCTTTCCGGTCGGGGTACCGGTCCCCATACTCCAGTGTGCTTAGACTGTTTGGTGTGGAACACGCCCTATAACATCCGTTGAGATGGCTGACTGTATGCTTTTGAGTATACGATAAATTAACTATTATCCTAATCTTACTAAGAACCGGCTTTTTGATAAGCATAGTTTGCACGAATTGTTCAATGCTGACGAGCAAAGGCAGCGGTGTCTGGCTGTTTGAACCCCCACGGTAGGGAACGGGCGTAAACGGAGTTGAGGTTCGGGATTCAATATATGAACTAAATGAAGTCGACGTACAGCTCAATTACCCATGATTGCTCCGTACTCGGCAACAATAGCTGGAATAGGCATGCACACTCGGGCAATATTCTCTCGGATATTCATTCCTCTAAACTGATGTGCTTCCGCCCCTCCGTTTTTCAACCGAATGCGACCTCGGACTGATCGACATGTCAAGCAAATGCCCTCATCGTCGGCTATCCCGAGCCTGAAGCGAAACTGCGAGTGGACTCGAGCTGTGACAGAACCCGGTGCACCAGCCATCTCCTTGACAGCGGGTCGGATGCGTCTACCGCACATTCACGATGTCGGCCGCAATGTGGCGGAACTGGAATATTTGACGGCGTATTCTATACGTCTCCATGTCCGGATGATGTGCGTTGTGGAGGGCACGGTATGTGAGGGCCCGGCTTGTGCTGGATCCGCAGGACTGTGCAGTCATGGGCGAAGGAGAATATGGTCGCGATGGGGGTGGCTATTGAGAGGCCGAGATGGAAGTCTGCTGGTGAGGAGGACGAGTACGGAGTGTTATACGGAGCGGTGGATAGCTAATATATACACGGACACACCGACATTATGCGATGTGTCAACGGCTGTTAATGCAAGTCAGGAGTTGTAGTACGTAGCAGGGGATACGGAGACACCGTATAGCAGGATAGCTCTGGCATGATATATCCCGATCTGATAGATCTGATAGAGAGAAAGCTCAGTTTCAAACATGATCTGACATGCAAGTGCGCCACGATCGATTCACGGGCCAAGCACGAGTACTTTCTGGGGAGGGGGTGTTTCACATTGACAGCAATTAACATGAAGTGCCACCCTCATTATAGTAGAAAATGCTAAGAGATTTCCAGCTGATCAAAAGCTTCACATGCCAGCCTTGTAGATCGAGCGATTATGGCCATGCGCAGTATGCGCCGTACTCAATACGGATAGCATCGCGTAGGTTGTACTCTGTACCCGTTTCTCCCGTACCACACGGGAAATGACAAGCGGTAAAGGATTTAAGTTATCTGATCCGCTGACAGCCAGAGAAGGAGCGATATCGGTGATCGGCCATGTCACTGAGTCGGAGTCTCTTTATGTCAGTAATCCCGGAGTACGTATTCTGAAGGGACGAACACGCCTGTCAATCTACCGAGCTGTCCCACTTCTACGGAATACAACTGCCAAACACTCTGTGCTATTCTACAGTTATTTGTATACCCCCGTAGACAAGTATTATTGTGGACGGACACGCACGGAAGGCTCGCGTGGGATTCAACTCGGCGTGGGGCACACTAACCCTAAGAACCAATAAGGGATTCAACTAGCAAATACTTAGTCAAGCCACTACAAATGTCGATGGAGACATCCCCACTGAGATTTTATCTGATCCGAGCCCTTATTTTATATGATTGGTTCTCGCCAAGCGCGCCTTGTAGCGAAAAATGGGCAAGGCCTCGCTGTCGTTGCTTTTTCGCCGTGCAGGTACGTGCATTTCATTTCGTCCAGCCACTAGAAGGCCTTAATTTGACTTGCCGGAGGGCCATACCTCAACCAAATAAGATTAGGATGCGTATTAGTCCGATGCCTGCCCACTCTGTAGCAGTCGAAGCTGAAACACCCCGTGGATGTGTTCGGTCCGTATATAGTACATGGGTCCCGTCGTGCGCTGTACTTCTTCTGCTGTCTCAAATCTGATTGCAAGCATAGACTACTGTCTGAGCACCTACATACGTCTTGCTGTCCGCATCCGCCAATATGGGCGTTATCAATCTCACCAGAGGCCGGAACGACATTCGCGTGATACAGGATATTACCGGATCGGATTTGCATGCACTCAACAGCAAAACCAATGGGTCGACTGATAACAGCGATGCCAAAGATGGCCACCAGATCGAACAGCAAACCAGCGTCGAAACCGTGACTGAAAAGAAGCCCCAGCGAAATTCGCATCGAACCACTCAAGGAGCTTACGTTGGTGTGCAGAAGGCCGAGGCTGCTGCACTGGCCTGGAGTAAGAAGTCGGCTTATGGGACATTTGCTTTGTGAGTCTACCAGGTTATCTTTCAGCGAATTTAGGCTAACGGCACAGGATCTGGGTTTCCTTCTTCATCCTCGCATTGCAGTCCTCGATCAGCACCAACGTCATTCAGAACGCCTACGCCAACTTCGAAGCCGCTCCCCAGGTGAGCACGGCCAACATCCTCTCCAGCGTTGTCGGAGGCGTCCTCAAGCTCCCCATCGCCCGTCTGCTGAACATCTGGGGCCGCACGGAAGGATTCCTTTTCTTCGTTGGTGTGTACATGATCGGATTGATTATCCTCGCCACCTGCAACAACGCCAATTCCTACGCAGCAGGCTACGTGCTCTACTGGGTTGGATACGACGCCATCTATCTGGTTCTCGATGTCTTTGTCGCGGATACTTCTGGCATGCGCAATCGTGCCTTTGCATTCGGTTTCGCCAGTACTCCGTTCATCGTCACCGCGTTCACCGGCCCAATCGCGGCGCAGTCCTTCCTGAACAACGCTTCGTGGCGATGGGCGTATGGCGTCTTCGCTATTATCACGCCTTTTGTATTCGTTCCCTTGGCCCTCGTGTTCAAGTTTTACCAGCGCAAGGCTGAGAAGATGTGCTTGTTTATCCGGGAGCCACATGGGCGCACCAAGTGGGAATCGGTGGTGCACTATGTCAACGAGTTCGACTGTAAGCCAAGTCCTGTCTCTGTGCTCTTAATATTTGCTGACTGCTCTAGTGGTCGGTGCGTTGATCATTATGGCCGCCTTCATCCTCCTTCTCCTCCCATTCAGCCTCCAATCCTACGGTCGTACCGAATACAAGAGCGCTTCATTCATCGCCCCCATCGCCGTCGGGTTCTGTCTATTCTTTGTGTTCGCCTTGTGGGAGAAATACTGCGCCCGGACGCATTTCATCCAGTACAGTCTGTTCAAGGACCGGACGGTTCTGGGTGCCTGCTCCCTGTCGGCTATTCTCTTCTTCAGCTACTACTGCTGGGACCTCTACTTCTATAACTTCTGCATGGTCGTCTACGACGTCCCAGTCAGTGCGGCTGGCTATATCGGTCAAATCTACAACGTCGGCTCGTGTTTGTGGTCCGCCATCTTCGGTATCATCGTCTATATCACCAAGCAGTTCAAGTACACTTGTCTGGGATTCGGACTGCCTCTCATCCTCTTAGGATCGGGCCTCATGATCCACTTCCGCGAGCCCGGCCAAGGCATCGGTTACATGGTCATGTGTCAGATCTTTATTGCCTTTGCTGGCGGAACCCTGGTCATCGGCCAGGATATGGCGGTTATGGCCGCAGCCGACCGGGAGGGTGTCCCCATGATGCTCTCGCTGGTTGGCCTGTTCTCCAGTCTTGGTGGTGCTATCGGATCGGCTGTTTCCGCTTCAATCTACTCGAACGTCTTCCCCGAGGCACTGCACCAGGCGCTCCCGACAGAAACCAAGTCGCAATACCAGTCGATTTACAGCGGGGGCTACGTCGAGCAGAAGAAGTGGGGTGTCGGAACGCTGGAACGGACTGCCATTGACCACGCCTGGGGCGAGTACATGAAGTACGGTTGCATCACGGCCGTCGCCGTGATGTCGCTGGGGGTCCCGGCGGTTGCCGTGTGGAGGGACTACCGGGTTGACAAGCAGCAGCAAAACAAGGGACAGGTTATGTAGATTTTCTTTCGCTTTTGTTATTTTCTTTACTAGTACAGTACATAGTACGAGCCACGAGTGATACCCTTTTGTTATGGTGGATATTTGATATAGTATAATAAAATTTCTTTTGTTTATCCTATCTTCTGTCTCTATTCTTTCTATTCTCTCACTATTTGCTTAATTCTTTAGTTTCTTATCCGTTCCCTTTCCATTCCATTCTGCAGCACAAAGTAGCCTTACGTGTCGAGTGATCAACACTGGAAATTCGTATTTGTGCATCGTCCATTGTGCGCTATTGAAGCTATCGGAAATCCCTCAGCGTTAATTTCTCTTCTCTCGCCCAAAAAAGTCAAACTAGACTATGAACCAATCATTCCTTAAAGACTTTGGCATTTCTTGGCTATCAGACAGCTAACCACGTTAAGCGCAAGCTGACAGGCATCCCCGTCTCGGGAATGAACTACTAGGAGTAACAACGGCCGACAGGTCGGCTGAAGGGTCAGTACCACGCACCAAAAAGGCGCTCTAAGCGAGCTCCCCAGAACATGCCACCCAACTGCTCTATAGCCCGAATTACGGGACCAATCCCCAGACCATGTGCTGCCCCGTCGTCGGGTGTGCACATTTCCGCCGGCACGGGCGTGAGGACATTAGTACCAGCCGGCAGTCTGGACCAAGCTCGGAGCCACGATCGGAACCCAGCGGCGAGGACCACGACGTCAAGCGGGTCCGCCAGGGCTCGGGAACTGAAATTCTGGGTTGTGAACAATGCATTTATTGACCAGCGAGAGGGAATGGTTCGTGACTCACGCGCAGCAGTGCAGGACAGACCGGAATGGGACTTGCCCGGTCCACCGGAAGTCTGTCCAATGCGCTCTGTGCAGCTGCGGTACTGCATCCTCCAGGCAGGGTACTCGTCGACTGCAAAGAGGCAACTGGACGAGGCTTCTCAATCCGGCAAGGGCAAGGCCCAAGTGGACCCGGGACACGTAGAGGTCCACCCAGATAAGATTGATAAAGCGATGTCGGAACGCTAGCCTGGATTGGGAAAGCGGGGGAGTGACCAGTCGAGCCTACTTTTCTGTCTTGTGGTTGCTTTCCCTCTTCTATTGCTACTGCCATACTCTCTACCCATTTCTCCCAAGACAAGCAACAATGAAGAAGTTCCTCAAGTCTGGTTGGTGATAGCTGCCGCGAGCTTTAGCAGCATTTCCCTCTTAAACACTACAATGAGTTCCACGATCACGGTCACAATGGAAACAAAACGATATTCCGGGCAAGACCTGCCCTCCGAACATGCGAGGAAGGGCTCAATTAATGCCGACACGCCCTGGTACCTCCAGTTGGACCATGGTGATGAAGTCGTCTATGATCCTGCCATCTTGACGGTCAGACAAGGCACGCTGACCGGCCTGGTCGAACACCTAACCCGACACGACAAGCTTGACGCCGTATTCAACGATTCCTTCCTCATGACCTATCCGTCTTTCGTGTCCGCCCCTGAGCTCTTCGAGAAGCTCCTCGTGCGATTTTACACCCTCCCGCCGGAGGGCCTGTCCGAGTCCGAAACAGAGGCATGGATTCAGCAGAAGCAGAAAATGATCCGGTTCCGCGTGGTGAATATCCTCAAGAACTGGTTTGGTCGCTTCTGGCTCGAACAGCCGGGCGAGGATTCCGCAGCGTTTGCTCGCCAGGCGTATCATCTGGTCCAGACCTCCCCTGCGATCACGGAGATTCCCGGAGCTCAGCAGCTGCTGGTGGTCATGGAGCAGCGCTTACAGGACAAAAGTACGAAGCACCTCGTGCCGCCACCGATTGCCAGTGCGCCTCCGCCTATTGTGCCCAAGAACCTGCGCAAGATCAAGTTGTTGGATATCGACCCTACGGAGTTCGCTCGGCAGTTGACCATCCTTGAGTACCGGCATTATGCCCGCATTAAACCAACCGAGTGCCTGAACAACTCTTGGCAGAGGAAGGGGCCGAATGAGAAGGGAAACAATGTGAATGCTATGATCCTGCATTCCAACCAGTTATCAAACTGGGTGGGTGCGGTCATTCTGGCGCAGACGGAGATCAAAAAGCGAGTTATGCTCATCAAGCATTTTATCACGATTGCCGATGTACGAGTCTCCAATTAGATTATTTTTGAGTGCGGCTAACTCCTACAGAAATGCCGCTCCCTTAATAACTATGCTACGATGATGTCCATCATTTCTGGCCTCGGAATGACCCCCATATACCGACTCTACATGACCTGGCCGCAGCTCAGTCCGAAGGTGATGAACACGTTGGAGGAAATGCGAGATCTCATGTCCAGTACGAAGAATTTTGGCAAATATCGGGAGAACTTGCGCTGCACGCATCCTCCGTGTGTTCCATTCCTTGGTAAGTTTCTTTCTGCGTAGTCACCTGGCGCACAACTAATGGGAACAGGAATATACTTGACCGACCTGGTCTTTATCGAAGACGGCATTCCGAATCATGCCCCCAACGGTATGATCAACTTCAGTAAACGGTTGAAAGTCGGCGAAGTTCTTCAGGACATCCAGCAGTTCCAGAACACGCCATACGTCTTCCAGCCGGTTTCCGAGCTACAAGACTACCTCATGAACGGCCTACAGGGCACAGAAGAGGCCAGCGACTTGTACGAACGCAGTACGGCGCTTGAGCCGCGGCGGATGGGCGAAGAAGGCTTTGTGCAGTACGCGGCCACGGGCAGCCATATGAGCTCGGTTGTCATTGCGAGCATGGCAATGCGTTGATGATGTTGACGCGGTATAATTATGATTGGTGATACCCGGTTAAATTGACGATTTACGTTGGTAATCTATGGTAATACAAATTTCGGGATTTATATTGTTAGAACCATTTGCGGATGGAATATCACGAACAGGCAATACACGAGAATGAACTACTCATTTTCTTGATCGTTCATCAGTAGACGATTATCGACATACCTATGGACATAGCTACGGTGGACTCGTAGTTGCATCTAGGATCATAGATCGCCGTTTTACCTCGTGGGATGAATACATATTGCCCCGCCTCAAGATCTACGATGGTGATGCAATGAGCGTGGGGTCCTCGTGGCTTTCAGCCAAGGGCGATCAAAGCCGCAGTACTCCGTAGACAACGGCTAGTTTTCGTCCGAATTAGGAATTGGGTCGGCACTCGGAAAATCAGTCTGTTACCGCGGTGCTCGCCGACCTTCTTGGGTTCTGAAATAGAATTAAAAGGCCGAGGTACCTGAGAGAAAGCTTCATGGCCTAGATTGAGACCGTCGATCGTCGCTTCTAATAAAACTACCCTTGCCGAAACGCAGCCTGAATTTAAGGGTTCGGATGGTGGTCAACGGCTCGAAACAGGTGCGATAAGACGTTAAACAGCAATTGCTGTGGCATCAGTTAGAGCCCAGAGGTAGTCCCTGTTCTTACTGCCCTCAGACTAGCCCGATATACAAGTGAACAGTCAATTGAGTGAGAAGATGACCGAGTTGTATCCACACGTGGCTATTCCAGCAACGAATGATTTCCGCGGATATACTATATATAGGGGCATTCTTTGTATTATACGCAGTGGCTATTACCCAGACATTCATGATATCTTGATAGAACTGTCGCATTTGGTTAGGGCTCCTGGTGTTGTGATATCACCATGACCAAACCCTTTTGACATCGCTATGACGCATGGCCTATATTATATACAAGTACGCCCCCCTACGGACGATTACTGCATCATCAAAAATCTCACTAAATTCCAATACAGTCAATCGACCCAGATTATTTAACCAACCAATATAACTATTCCCTCCACATACCAAAATGTCGGAAAGCAACCCGACCAACCTCACGCAGCGTCAACCCGCCGACGCTAAAAACGTCGACATCAATTCCAAAAGCGCGCACGATACCACCGACAAGGCCCCTAATGAGGGCTCATTCCCAGGACCCGGGGGCAATGCCACCGCACGCGCACCACAGCAGCCGCATTCGAGCAAGGTGCTGAACAAGTTGGATCCGCGGTACGACAGTGATATCATTGAGGCAGCGGAAAAGGAGAAAGGCGGCGGGTTTTAATCGGTGGATATGGTTGTGATGTATTATTTTCTGTTCATGTCATGAATGATGATGCTGTATTATACCAACTGGAAGCGTTATACATACTATGCTTGGATTGAACATGTATAGCATGCAATGCATAATGCTAGGATCTAACAGGGTTTTGGTATTTCTCTCCTGATATAAAAGAATTGCTTTGTCCTGAATCATCCCTGCTTCCTCGCCGGCTATGAGTTGACTGCCGCCTTTGCTGTCGTAGCTCCTGCTCGGTCTCCATCAAGGCATTCTGCACTCGTCTGCTGCAATCTGTGCTCGACTTGACCCGCGCGTCATTGAGAAATCCGGTCAATGTAGCTTTGACCTGGTAATCTGGCTCTCGTTGGTTGCTGACTTCAGTCGGGGAATTGTCGGATGGGTTTTCATATGATGATGAACGCTCGAGCGACGGTGTGGAGCGGAGAGTTGGGATATTGTTTGAAGAGGCCAAAGGTTGGAGGTCTCGTAAACTCGCCATTTTGAAGAGGATGGTTTCAGGAACGTTTGCATTCAGTTAAAAATGATTTTTATAGTTTTATGTCCAGAGGCAAACCCGCGCCACATGACATTGATAACTGGTACTCAGGGCATCTCACAATGATGTAGCGAGAATCCTGTTCAAAATGAATGCCAAGAAAGCAAACGACAAGCCCCTTTTATGCAATGGTCCAATCATTCAGGCCTGAGCATTTGACTCTGAGTCTGAGAGGGATTTCACCACCAAAGAATCCATTGATGCTTACTATTGTGACATATTGCCCGCCATTCAGGGCGCACACTGGCAAGGAATTTCTGTTTATTCAGGGATTTATGCTACAATCCACATGCGGGAACCGTATCCGACCAATCTCATTGGATACACCACGTCGATCTGTTTCCACGGTGGCAGACACTGCGTCGACGGGGTAGATGAGCTCAAGAATGGCTGGCCGAACATGCCGGAACCCAAGATATTCGATTTGGATACTCAATAGCCGTATGGGATGGACGAATACGACTTGTGGTCTGTTATGGCTTGAGACGGAGCATGGAATCCATCCGCGCGAATCTCTTGGGGGTAGTTGGCATGAATTTGTCTCTGTTGATGGACAGAGAATACGCCGTCATTACCTGCTTTGTTCGTGTTCTACCCTGGGCGCGACTTGTGTGCAACGTCCGCTAACGGAATATATGATTTGTCTGAGAGGCATAGCAAGTCCAAGTCCAGCTTGTGCATTACTATCAGCTATTAACTAATTTACTAATTTACAAGCAAATATTTTAAACAGTTCCTGTAGCCAAAACATATCCACCATCAACCACTACGGTCTGCCCATTCAGATACTGGTTCGCAGCCGTAAATAGGACTGCACCTGCCATATCCTCATCCTTCCCGGGACGATTGGCCGGCACCTTCTGCTCGTACTTTTCCTTGGGCAGCTCGCTCTTCTGCTTTTCATCGCTGCTCTTCGCCGTCATCTCAGACGGAAACACGCCCGGTGCGATGTTGTTCACCCGGATCTTCAAGCCGGACGAAGCGATCTCGTGCGCTAGCATCTTGCTCACGTGTATGGCGGCGGCCTTGCTGGCGTTGTAGGCAAAGTGGTGCTGGGAGGACTTGATAATACCCGAGATGGAGGTGATGTTGATGACGGTGCTCGACCAGCCGTGGTCAAGGTCGGTGCCCTTCTGCAACAGGGGCAGGAAGGCAGCAGTGGTGAAGAAGGCCTGGGTGACGTTGGTCCGGTAGACGCTCTCCCATTCATCAAAGGTGCTGATCGAGTCATGGAAGAGTTCTTGCTGGAGTTGATTGGGATCCTCGGCATCGGTGTTGCCGGGTGTGGAGGAAATGCCGGCGTTGTTGATCAAGATGTGCAGCGCTTTTTCCTTGGACTCGATCTCCTTGGCCAGTTTCGCGATCGAGTCCTTGGACGTGACGTCGGAGGTAAGGGGAATGATCTGCCCCGAAATGTTCTTGCCGTACAGTTCGGTCACCCGGTCGAGCTTCTCGCCCGTCCGACCGGTGATGTAGACTTTGGCGCCGTTGACGGCCAGGGCCTGGGTGGCCATGAGGCCGATACCAGAGCCACCGCCAGTCACGAGGGCGACTCTACCCTTGACATTGAAGACGTTTTCGAGCTGGAATCGCTGGTTGCTGTGTTCGGCCATTTTCGTGGTGTACCGGTAAAGTTATCGCTGAGGGTCTCTGGTTGAATATCGGGAACGATGTAAATCGCGAAGCCAGATATATACGTCTCTGCGCAAGGGAATCAATCGTGACGTACAATGCAGTAAACCGTCGCAACGGAACGTATACTTGTTTTGACCTTTTTCTTAACCAGTATTCGCATTATCGGCATGACGTATGTATAGCGAAACAAATATAGAAACATGTCCAGAATAGGAAATTGATATTGTATGCTCCTCTGGTTCTGGTAGCCTTACTTAATGGTGATACCAGTTGACTCACTAGTTAACCAGTCATTCCTGATGTCTAATCAGATATTCGCCACATAAATCCGGTTCATAGTCAAGCCATATAAATATCCTCGGATTATCCAGAAGATATCCGCATTATCCTCTTGGAATTGTTCTCACAAGTCACATTATCTGAAATTATCCCTTTAACTCTGAAAACACATACACCATGGCACCCGCTGAAACTAGCGCTCCTCGCGGTGGTGTCGGCACCCAAGCGACGCCAGCCACCAACTCAGGCAGTGGCTCTGGTCTGGGCGACTCCGGGTACCCCAAAGGCAGCGGTCCTGTATGCATTTCTCCCCCATTATGCTCGGCTGCCATACCATGCATATCGAGATGTGAATCTCGCTAACTCGTCCGCAGACTACCGGCCAATTCACCACACTGACCAACCAAAAGGGCACTGCAAGAGATAGCGACGAGTCCTTTGAGAAGCCTGCCAACCCTAGCGAGGACCGCAGCTTCATGGCCCATAAGCCCGGGCATCCCGAGACGCTACCGGGATGGGACAAGCTGAAGGATGTAATGGGATATACCAGTTGATTGGACTTTTAATAACGAGCTACGCTATCTGTATTATTATGGCTACGATTGGTGTTATGAATTGGGATTGAAATAATGTACAATAACGACCGGTGATGATGACGTCAAAGTTACGATTGTAATGGCACTTTCCTATTTCGATCGCACCAAGCCCTATTCTGAACCAGGAATGCCTCCACATTGGAGGGCTTGTGTATGGCCAATGACAATGTATGGTCACACCTTGTCCGCCCTCGCCCATGCTCCGTGCTGCCATAAGACCGTGCGGACAAAAGTTCCCACGAGCTACTCCGTACAGGAGATCAATATCCACTCCGGTAGTAGGGAGATGCCTACGAACATGTTAGCAACGGGCGCAATCCGCGGTAGAGGTGAGCGATGCCTTTGAGCACTTTCCCGAGGATTTTTGGTGGGCTCAGGGGAAAAGCGGAGAAGAAATCCTGCAACGGAATACATACCGGAACGTTGACGAACATTTTTGCGCGAAGAGGACAATCCGTCGTCTTGCTCCGTAGGCTCGCAGTCAGCCCACGGACACGACCACTCTCTGCATACTGTGCAACGCCGAGATTCTCGTCAACCCGAAGGATCTCAGTTGCATGCCTAAGAAATGAGGACCTTCTCTAAAAGTGCCTGATCGTCCATCATGTTAGTTGTTTGACACTTATCCAATCAGACACCGTGCAAGCCGAAGCACGATTGCTTGCTCCCGCCAACCTTCCTGATTTGGTCTAAATTAAGGACCACTTCTGCTTATTCGGATGGACCCGCGGCCAATGGGACGGATTCAATATCCCGAGTTTTGGCGCCAAAAACCGTGATATCCAATTATAATAGATGGATCAGCCCTGGGCTGAGCGGAATACACAATTTGCCGCGCCGATACAGGGTAGACGGGGTAATACGAGTTTGGTGGAATGCGCCTCACGTCTCCGAGCCAAAACTTCTCATCTGTTCCCTTTCTCGCTTCTGTTCCTTTTGTGAATCACGTTCCAAGATGTTGTTAACATCGCTGCTATTGCTCTTTCTCTTCTCCCCCTCAGCTGTTTTGGGTGCTGATAATTATCGGACATGCTTCTTTCCCAGTGGAAAAAAGGCCTTGGGCCATACGCCGTGCTCGGATGACGAATACACCGCATGCTGTGACAACAACCATGTTTGTATGACCAACGGGCTCTGCGTGAATGTCGGAAGCGACCAGCCATACGGATTTTCGCGGGCGGCTTGCACAGATAAGAGCTGGGGATCTAGCTGTCCGCAAGAATGCGTCGAAAGTAAGTCCTATCCAGCGTTTGCTATACCTCAAGCTGGTGGTAGAACACAACTAACCACGACATTCGTGACCCCAATACAGGAGAGGAAGATGGCAAAGCAGGATGCGCAATTTTAACTTTCGAGGCCGGTGGAAATGCCACCACGTACTGCTGCAACGCGATTACGTCGAAGAACGGAAGTGCTGCCTGTGCCAACGATGAAGATCCTTTCACAATCACAAGCGGAACGGCCATCTCAGGACGCGCATATCTATCGAACCTGGTCGCCAAGGATTCCGGCAATAACAACCGAGAAGTCGCGATTGGGGCTGGCGTGGGCGTGCCACTGGGCGTGTTGTTCCTCACCGCATTGGGTTGGGCTCTTTATGAACGAAAGAAGAGAAGTGCGCTGCTGAATTCTGCTGCTGCGGCAACTGCCTTTCCCGGACAACAGCCCATGCCCGGCGGACAGACCGTGATGCCTCAAGCGGTGGCAGCGCCGGTACCAGCAACACGACTACAAGAGTTGGAAGCGACAAAACACCCGAAGCCACAGGAGCTGGAAGCACGATGGTGATGTACTCGGGTTTATCCGCTGTCCATATCAATCCTATCTATGACACCAAGGCAATGTGTATTTTCCCAAGCTTTGCAACGAGGACCGGTCAATGGAGGACATTTGGATATGGTGAGAATGGTGGGAATGGTGGCAGTCGGTGGTTGGATTCGTGAGTCTGGTTGCATTGGGTTGTGTTTACAGTCAAGCTGACCGCACATAGACTCTAATTTGTTTCCTGACATTTGCCATTGTCTACCTAATAGTAATTCATAGCATACAATAATGGAATATTGCTGTTTTCGCCTCGGTATAGTGCTCCACGTCAGACTGATGGATACCCTAGAACGACAGTCATTTCGATGTCATCTGGAAGCCCTCATTTGTACGTCACATTGCCTCCGGCCTATATCTATGTACGAACCATATCTGACCGACATCAGCAACAATGCTCTCGCTTATCAGATTATACCGGTCCAAAACACCTATCAGAACCCTCGCAACGATGTCATCCGCTAAGCCCCAGCATTTCATGAACACATCGGGCGACTCAGACTCCGTCTGGGTCCATCGCATGCCCTACTCCGAATACCCTCGTTTCCCGACCATAGATCGCGATATCACCACAGATGTCTGCATCATCGGTTCTGGCATAGCGGGTATATCCACCGCATATGAGCTCGTCAATCGCGGCAAGCGAGTCACCATGCTCGAAGCGCGACATGTCGTGTCCGGGGAGAGTGGTCGTACCAGTGGACACTTGACCAACGCGCTGGACGACGGATACGAAAGAATCCAAAGCAAGCACGGCTTCCATGGCGCACAGATTGCAGCTGAGAGTCATGGTTGGGCCATTGATCGCGTCGGGGAAGTCACGAAGACCCTTGGGATTGACTGTGAATACCGTCGACTGCCGGCATATGAATTTTCGCAGTATAACAGAGAAGACCCCAAACACGAACATGAGATCCACAGACTAAAGAAGGAAGTCGAGCTGGCGCAAAAACTTGGCCTCAATGCGACCTTCCGTGAAGGTCTCGCGGTTCCCGGCTGGGATGGGGAGCCGGACCAGCGCGACGGAGCTGTCTTCCATGACCAGGCGACATTCCATCCAACCCGATACTTCCTCGGTGTTCTCGAATGGCTGGCAAAACAGCCAAATTTCCAGTGCTTTGCGCAGACACGTATGGTATCCCTTGAAGAGAAGGATGTTGTCCACATCAAAACTGAGCCTGGTTACACCGTGACGGCGCGCGACGCCGTCGAAGCAACCTGCGTGCCGCTACAAAAGCTCAGCATAATCGCGGAGATGGAGTACTGCCGGACGTACTGTATTGCTATCCGCATTCCCCAGGGTACTGTCAAAGACTGTCTTATCTACGACGAGGCAGAGGCATACAAATACGCGCGACTGACTGCCTGCGACGATCAGGATGATTATATGGTAGTCGGCGGATGTGACCACAAAGTTGGCCAGGAAGAGGTGGACGGCCGCTTCGACGAGTTGGAGACGTGGACTCGTGAACGCTTCCCTCAGGCCGGAGCCGTGGATTATCGCTGGAGTGGACAGGTCTTCGAACCCGTCGACTATATGGCTTTCATCGGCAAGAACCAGGGCCAGAACCACGTGTACGTTGTGACGGGCGATAGCGGTGATGGGCTCACCCATGGCGTCTTGGCTGGACGACTACTGGCAGATGAGATCGGCGGCATCAAGAATCCCTGGGCTTCCCTCTACCAACCCAGTCGTATGGCCAGCATTGCCAAGTCTATGCCCACCATGCTGGAACATGATGTCCAGATCAACATGCAGTACAAGCGGTACCTGCAATCCGACATCAAGGATATCGAAGATCTCGGGGTCAACAGCGGCGGCGTGCTCCATGACGGTTTCACCTCGAAGCCAGTGGCCGTCTACAAGGACGGGGAGGGACAGACGTACAAGTTCAGCGCGGTGTGCCCTCATATGAAAGGAGTCCTAAGCTGGAACCAGACAGAGAAGAGCTGGGATTGTCCGGTGCATGGGAGTCGATTCAGCTGTGAGGGCGTCTGTGTCGATGGACCAGCCAAGTCTAACTTGACGCCGATGGATGGTGCGTCTCGACAGAGACAGATCCCTGTTTAGTTTGACTTTTAAAAATCGTATATTATTCAGGTATAGTAGAATACATAACGTAATATTCAACTGTACAATGGAAGTAGACGTATATAATACAATCAAGCTTGAGGTCGGTTTGGAGATACTGATCCCTTGACCTTGGCCGTCTCAGTCTCGCCTTCGCCCTTTTTACTTTTACCTGGCTCATTGATGAACGGGTTATCCGTGGTAGCATTAGATAGACCAGCTTGTTTCCCGGATATTGTTCCAGCACCACCTTCTTCCTTGCGCGTGCTCGCCTGCTCTAAATCAGCTTTATTGTGGAAGATAATCAGAATAGAAACGTACAGGATCTACATTCGAAGGTGGCTGTCCCAATGAACCACCACCACTCGGTCCAGATGAAGAAACCTTTTGTTCTGCGTCGCGGTCCGGCTGAAGCGTAGCCTCACTCGCTTTCGATCCAAATTCAATCGCTTCGCCCTTGGCGTATTGTTCACTTTCATGTTGGGGCTTGCCTTCCGGTCCAGACTGGAGGAGGTAGTAGCCTCCTGCGGCGGTAACGGTTGCTACTGCCACGGCACTGTGGAGATTAGCGAACAGCATTGTGAGAGGTGCGGAGGCCACCAACATCGGTATCTCGGAGGTTTTGTTGGTTTTGTTGCTCTGCGAGGATTCCGAAGCATATTGCCGGGTGAATTGTGTCGGACGGGGTGCCCGGAGAGAACGTAGGGAAGTACGGAGAGCTGTTCTAGAGAAAGACATCTTGAATGAGTAAAGAATTGGTTGAAATGGAATGCTTATTCGAGCCGGACCAGAATTCGAGGTTTATAACGGGCTCTGACGAGGGCTATGTATATGTGATGTCATGGCCATAGCGTCCCAAAAAGGAAATCATACAACATTTTCAAGATACGCCACTTTCATAATGACGTATGAACGGGGGATCAATTGGACCATAGATATGAAGCTGAGATACTACGGGGATACAGTCAAAGGAACTCTATATACCAATGCCAATCGATCTGCTTATTGTCGGTGCCGGCCCGGCAGGTCTTCTGGCGGCCTGCTGGGCCTCCCAGTACCCGATATCAACGCGTATTATCGACAAGCATCCATCACGAAAGCCCACCGGTCATGCGGACGGAATCCATAGTCGCACACTGGAGATCCTCGATAGCTTCGGGATTGTAGATCGGATCATGCGATTGGGTGCTCAGGAGATTGAGATGTGTTATTGGGTTGGTCAACGAATTGTATGTGGTTGAACGTTGCTAACAGACATAGGGTCGCGATGAGAAACATGGGAAGCTTCAACGGGAGAAAAGGCTGCGAAGCCAGCCTGAGGAGTTCTCGCGGTTCAACCAACGACTTCTCAACCAGGGGATTATGGAGGAGGTGATGATTGACTATCTGCGCGAGAAGGGAGTACAAGTTGAATGGAGTACGACAGCTGAATCGTTGGAAACGGATCAAGATGACTTGCCTGTCGTTCATGTTAGTCGCGGTCTAGGTGAAAAGGACACAATAAAAGCACAATACGTGACCGGCTGCGACGGAGTACACAGCTGGACGAGAGACCAACTTCAGATCCCCATGGATGCACTATCTGCGCCCTCTGAAGAGTCTACCTGGGGTGTGATGGACATCGTCCCAATCAGCGATTTCCGTACGTCCTCTTTTCCGGCAGAAGGAAAGATGCTGACCCCGTACCAGCCGATATCCGCCAATCCTGCGCTATCCACGCTTGTTCGAGAAGCGGGATTATGCAGCTGCCGCGCGAGAACCGTCTGATTCGGCTATATATCCAGCTCAAGAGCGACGACGAGTTGGCGCAACAAGCGATACTGAATACACACGACGAGACAACGCCCAAGCAGCTATTGAAAATCGCACAGCGGACATACGAACCGTATCAGATGAGCTATAAGCGCTGCGACTGGTGGTCGCTATATCGTGTATGTCAATGCACCTGATTATATAACCGCAGCCACTGATGTCCGTAGATAGGACAACGACTAGTTCCAGAGTATAGAATTCGCGATCGGTATGTCCACTACCCGGTTATATCCGGACTATAACTGACCAAATAGAATCTTCCTGGCCGGCGACGCAGCCCACACACATTCCCCCAAAGGAGGACAAGGCATGAACGTTTCCATGCAAGACACGCACAACCTGGTCTGGAAACTTGCCTCTGTTATTCTAGGCCAAGTGGATCCATCCATTCTGGAGACTTACAACTCTGAACGACGCCCCGTAGCTCAGGAGCTCATGCGCATGGATTCAGACCTCGTGCATGCTTACGAGCAGCAACCCGGGACGGGCGGGCATACTGACAGTGTGGATGAGATTCGAGATCGGTACACAGGGTTCATGACGGGGGTGAAGGTGAAGTATCCGTCGAACATTCTTGTTACGGCCAGAAAAGACAGTGTGACGAGGAAATTTGAGGTGGGAATGAGATTACCGTCTTTTCGAGTCGTTTACCAGGCGTCTGCTTCTCCACTGCATCTTGCAGAAAGGCTCATCAGTAATGGTTACTGGAGGATACTTGTATTCTCTGGGGACCTTCGCAAGGACCAAAACCGACGTTATCTTGACTCTTTTGCAGAAACCCTCAAACCACATTTGGAGACCATGCGCATACCTATCGAGGTACTGTTGGTTCATTCTAGTCCACGAACGGATATATCTATTTTGGAGGTCCCTGATATCTTCCACCCGTTCGACGAGGATCTTGGATGGGATTATTCCCGAGTCTTTGCGGATGCGGATGCATATGAAGGATACGGAGTCGAAGATGGGTGCGTCGTGGTTTGTCGGCCGGACCAGCATGTCGGCTGGATTGGATCGGATGTCGCTGATTTGGAGGAATATTTCTCCTTTGTTAAGTCCTAGGAATGAACCCGACTGTAGATACCATTCAGATGGATTGGTCCACACCACAGTGATAACCCTGTCTAGAATAGCAACTGTCTGCTCAACATTCGGTAAACATTGGGTTTCCAAGCCGGAAATCCAACACCAACCATCCAAGTACCTTGAAAGAGAAATGGGAATATTCCCGGGTGCCCAGCATCGAAATAAACACGGGTACAGAAGCAACTACAAGAGGGAACCGTTTGATAACCTAGTAACCTTAGATATATCTCTGCGAACGCATTACTAGTACGATAAAGCGAGTAGAAATGATAGAAGACAAAAACCATCCGTCTGTCCAATAGGTCATGTTCAAGCTTGCCACAATTTCACCACTATGAATATTACTGTGCTTGGTAGTGCAATCTGGACAAGTGGAACTACTCCGTAAAATGACATCTGCCATGCTCGCTACTGTTCCCTGGAGGCACTTACTCCGTGGACCTGGAGATCCACGAGCGGGCCCAATGGAGAGGACCACCGGCCTACTTGCTACGGAGTATGGAAACGCTAGACTTTGGACGACAACCGGGAGAACCCTCGCAGGGACTGAGCCCTAAGAAGCTCAACGGACGGATCTGGTAGGGAGGAGCTCGATGTCGCCTAAGATTACTGCTTGACCAATGGGGACGGGGACGATGCGTCTGTCCGACTATCTCATCCCTCACTCTAGTGCTTGGATTCCTTTCCATTTTCCGAGGCTGCGGGTGCGGCTACTGTGAAGCGGATGTTTATTCCCCGGTGTAAAAAGTAACCGACGGGGTTTTCTCGGGGTATTTGTTTCCCGAACGAAAGTATGTGGAGAGGTATGTAGAGTGATATCGTATGCAATGACCATTCGAGATTGATTTTAAAAAAGGAAGCGGCCGGCCCTTCCCCGAGCTCATACGATGCAAGGGTATCTGCGCAAGTGTAGACTTGGATGTGAACATGTCTGGAATAGCTGAACAGCTCTTACAAGAAAGTCAAAAAGTAACGACAGACGGCGGAGTCCTACGAACTACGGTTCACGCAAGCACGGGGGACATTGTACATCATGATTCATTTCATTTCCAAGACGAATCGCAATAACTAAAAAACACGCTAAACAGGTATCACTTAACCAAAGAGAGCATCGCCCAGGCGGTAGTGGACGGTCTTGACCTGGGTGTAGTTCTCCAGGGCGTACGAGCCCAGCTCGCGGCCAACACCGGACTCCTTGAACCCACCAAAGGGAGCCTGGTAGGAGATCATGTTGTAGTTGTTGATCCAGACGGTGCCGGCCTTGAGAGCGTTGGAGACACGGATGGCCGTGTTGACGTTCTTGGTGTGGACACCGGCAGCGAGACCTAAAGCCATTAGTATGAAATGCCGCAATCAAGGGGAGCACAGAGCGCATACCGTATTGAGTGCTGTTACCGATCCGGATGGCCTCATCGGCATCCTTGAATTTCTGGACGGTGATGACGGGGCCGAAGATCTCCTCCTGGGCGATCTTCATGTCGGAAGTGACATCGGTGAACAGAGTGGGCTGGATATAGAAGCCCTTGTCGCCGTGGCGCTCACCACCGAGCGCAACGGTGGCACCAGCATCCTTACCGTACTTGATGTACTCCATGATGCGGTCGAACTGGAGCTGGGAGACCTGAGGACCCTGGAAGGTGTCGGCGGCGAAGGGGTCACCGAGCTTGTTCTGGGCGGCACGCTCCCTGAAGCGGGCGACGAACTTGTCGTGGATGCTCTCCTGGACAAGCAGCCGCGAGCCGGCGCAGCAGCATTGACCGTGGTTGAAGAAGATACCGAAGTTCGCCCACGAGATGGCGTTGTCGATGTCAGCGTCCTCGAAGACGATGTTGGGGGACTTGCCGCCCAGTTCGAGGGTGACCTTCTTGAGGTTGCTCTTGGCAGCGGCCTGGAGGATGGTACGGCCGACGGCGGTGGAACCGGTGAACGCAACCTTGTCAATGTCCATGTGGCTGGAGATGGCAGCACCAGCGACACGACCGAAACCGGAGATGATGTTGATCACACCAGCGGGGAAGCCAGCCTCCTTGATGAGCTTACCGGCGTACAGACCGGAGAGGGGGGTCTGCTCAGCGGTCTTGAGGACAACGGTGTTACCCGCCGCAATGGCGGGGGCGATCTTCCACGACCACATGAGGAAGGGGAAGTTCCAAGGGATGATCTGACCGCAGACACCAATGGACTCGTGGCGGGTGTAGGAGAGGGTCTCGGAGTTGGTGTCAATCGTCTGACCGTGGATCTTGTCGGACCAGCCGGCGTAGTAACGGATACAGCCCAGAGCGTTGGCCAAGTCGACCTTGGCCATGGTGAAGGCCTTGCCGTTGTCGAGGGCCTCAATGGCGGCGATCGTGTCAATGTCGCGCTCAATCAGGTCGGCCAACTTGTTCAGGAGACGGCCACGGTCGGAGGGGGTAACCCGACTCCATTCGCCCTCGTAGGCCTTGCGGGCAGCGGCCACAGCAATGTCGACATCCTTCTCGTTGGCCTCGTGGACGGAAGTGATGACCTGCTCGTTGGCGGGGTTAATGGTCTCGAAGGTCTTGCCCTCGGAACCCTTGACATATTCATTGTTGATGAACCTGTAGGACAAGAAGTGTATTAGCTAGGGACCTGGGGACCGGGGGGTAGCTCAGAGCGGGGAGACATACAGGCCCACGGGCTGCTCAACAGTAAGGTGAGGAGTCTGAATAGAAGCGGTAAGAGACATGATAATGGATTAACAATCAGAATAATGAGGGAGATGAGAGGTGGAAGAGAGAAAAAGACAGGAGAGGAAGGGTGGACGAGGAAAGATTTTATAGACACGTGCCCTCTCAAACAGGAAACCGGTCGAACGCAGCATAATTATGGTTGGATGACTAACCACGGGTGCGGGGTCCGGTGGGGTATTGACGCCATCCCGCGGCTTTCCTTCCGCTTCTTTAGTTTTCTTACTATGTACAGTACAATGTACGTACGATGTACGTACGTGTATGTACGATGTATGTATTATGTATGTGCTCCGTACATTCCATTGAGACCATACAATGCCATTGTGCAGCACTGCACAGACTGAGCACAGGGGGTATCAGCATGCACATTCCTGTACATATTGGGCCACCATTATCCCGTTGACATCAGCACGTTTGCCCGGAGAAAGTCCGATTCCGGTCTAGTGTTGCGGGTCGTTCCAAATTGGTCCTGACGGTCCTCTATTCCACCCCGATTATAGGGGTATGCCCTGTTGCCCATTGGTACATCGTGGCTATTCCATGGTTACCGTGGTTATCTTGGTTATCATGTTGTACAGATCCCGCATGGCGCGGATTTTCACGGAAAGTCAGAAACTCAATGCATATCCTGTGACTCTGGAGTACTCCGTATGCACGAGAATAATGCGGGGGTTGACTACGGGTGCTCAAACTAAATCTGCCATAGCGCCAATGAGAAGCTCCGGAAACCCTATGGCCGAAAGAAGATGAACTGCCCCGGGATCGCTGCAAGGTTTGTTCCAGCCGAAAATGCATCGTGTAGAGGCCAGACTGGTCCAAGTCTGATATAACTGGTCTACGGACATACGGATATGCGGATGCGGACGTGGACGGCTCCAGTCCATCGCTCCGCAGCGGCTCTGCTTCTGGTCATACGCATACAGACTCCGTATATTGAATGAGATTCCTGTCAACAACCGAGTAGTCTCCGCCAAGAGTGGCCCACACGAGCGAATAAGCAATCTAGACGATTGGCAGCCCTGCCAAGTCCCTCTCGGGCTATGTGGGCCTGTAATCTATGGCAAAACGCCCATCGAAAGCACATCGTACCTCTGTATAGGTGTCAAGTATTCTTCGCCACAATGTCCCTGATCTCCGCATCGCTCAATGACCGGACGCCAAGCAAGTTGTTCGACAACTCCTCCGGAGCTACCAAACCACCAAAGCCTTCGCCAAAGATAGCCCGCCGCAGAAAGTTGAAGGCAACAACGGCTGGATTCGGGTTGGGCTTGCCAAGTTCGTCGTAAGCCTCCTTTTCCAATACGGCGGTGCTCACCGTCTTCGTCGCAAGCTGCTTGCCCGATAGCTCAAGGAGCCCCTTTTGCGATACGTTGGCCTCACTGACGTATACAGCTTGGTTTCTCGTTGCGTCTAGATTGCGGATGATCCCAGATACGGCCTGTCCAATGCCGGCCAGTGTCGTGGCACTGAATTTTTGATCACCGCCATCGTATAGCTCGACCTCCGGGCCCTTGTGGTTCAGCAGAAATGTGGTCTTCAAGCCCCAGTCCAGGAAGGGACCGGTGATCGGAAGAGTGTAGGAGAAGGTGCCGTTGGAGTTGGCGGACGCTTCTTGCAAGTGTTTCTGAACAGCCACTTTGTCCCCGTAAACGGGCAGCTGTGCGGCGCGAGGGTTGGTAGTATTGCCGCCAAACTCGGACGGAACGAATCGCTGAACGTGTGCCGCAACGGCAGCATCGATCAATCGAAGATGGGTCTCCCTGGGGATTCGTCCGACACCAAGCGTGTTGACCACCACCTCCTGGCCGGCCAGAGCGGAGGTCAGCGACTCCGACGAGTCGTAGTTCACCTCAGCTATACGGGCTCGTTGGTCGAACTTGTCGTCTTTGTTTTCCCTGGTCAGAACCGTGACCTCGAACCCAGCGTCGAGAAGGGCTGCGAGAACGCTCGGACCAAGGTTCCCACTCGCCTGTGTTCGAGAGAATAAATCAGCGAACATGATTGACATTGACTTGAAAGAGCAAACTCACTCCGGCAATTGCAACTTTTGGTGACATCTTGTAAAGGCACGCGTGAATTGGATCGTAACTGAGACTGGTATGATTCTATCGAACGGACTTGAGCAGTATTTATGGTGCAGGCGCCATGAAGCATATGAACTTCAGGGATCCTGACGCCATCGGCCTTCCACCACTCATGGAACGACTCTTTATTGCATCCGGCATCGCGCCACCTCTCGCTGGTGTTGCGTGCATGATTGCTGCGAATTCGTCAGAATTGTTGATAATTTGGAGATTACCAAGCAGTGCGGAATTGTCTGTACATGCATGCAATGTAAGCTTCATGTGAAGAGCTATTCGCCATGCTCAGAAGCTCCAGAAAATTCCACAATCTATTCGATACACAAGTTCCATTCCAGACCAGAGACGAGAGTGTTCTAAATATTCATCTACATGTCGATGACTGGTCAACGCGAGTGGTCGCTTGGTACAGTTATGCAGGACATGCTTGCCAGAGAGAAGTGATTGTATTTGCAACGATAGCTAGACTGTAGAGCTGTCAAAATGCTTCGATTTAACCGCCGACTAGAGCTATAGTTTGTATAAGCGCCTGTCATACGAAGCAGGCCACACGCCATTCTTCCCTGGAGCCAGAATCCCATTCGGGTCAAGCGCATTCTTCACCGTCTCGTTGAATCGCATGAGCGCATTGTGGTTCCAGTTGTATGTTTCCGCAATCTGATCCATGAGTGCTAGATGCGTTCGATATTCACCCCAACCATGCTCCGCGCAGTCCGCAATCAGGGTCTTGATCAGCCAATGTGCTTTTCTCTTGGACTCGGGATCTCCCCGGTTGAACGCGATACAAACGATATGGTCTGTGGATGTTAGAAACCACACGCCAAGTGGGAGATGTAGACTCACGCATTTCTCGCATACCGATGGCGAAAGCACCCATAAAGTCAAGACCAGCCTCGACGCAGCGCTTCTTGGTAACCTTGTACTGTAGCATCGCATCATCGCCTGAGATTTTACTAATAGGCGAGAAGAACAGATGCGCTCCGTTCGGCAGCCAGTCAACCCAGCGCAGTTCATCAAATGTCGGAATGCCTTGAAGTGTCTTTGCACGAATGTGTAGGAGGTGGTTGCCTTTGACATCTTCTGGGAAGAAGAATTGAACACCTTTGATTGACGAAAACGCTTGTTTAATTTGTGACCAAAGAACATTGCGAATCGCCTCCGGGCCCTGCCGATTGGAGTCAGAATCGTCAGCCTGAGCGTGGGCGCGAAACGAAGAGCTTACATAGAGTGCTCCATAGAAGTTCCACCGGCCCAAATTTAGCTTCTTTGCAATTGCGTCCAACTCGCCCTCATTCAACGGCTTTTCGGTGTCAGGAGTGTAGTCTGTCTTTGAACCGAGCATTGCCGCATCAAGAAGAATATGACGCAAGGTCGGGACGTTCTGGATAATCATTTGCTGTGTTTCGTCAACACCTCGCAGCAGGTATGGATGGTTTGTAGGCTCACCAATCTAAGAGGCCGTATTATGTCAACCGCTTGGTGAAGGTCTTCATCCCTGGGTAGCGATATCTGATACGCTTGGAATCCTCCAGGATTTGGCATCAACTACATTTTATATCAGTCGCCGAGATTCGAGCCCTAAATAAGGAACGACTCTGCGATCATACCCACATGCCAATTTTGGTAACTATTCCGAGGTTGCTCTGCGAAAAAAGGCCATCGTTGTACGGACCAAATCCATACGGGAAGAGCTGCCAACACTTATTCCCGGCTTCCTCGTGAATGGGATGCGCCGATGTCCTGGGATTTTGGGGCAATGCACCCATGCCTGTACGGAGTAGCTCTCCGGACGGCAAGATAACTTCCATGCCACAATGCATCATCCAATGGTCTATTTCGATCGAGTATCAACATTAAATTCTTGTTACTTGCAGTGTATGGCTTACCTCCATATGGAGTGTATCCCACACCTCGTTCTAGCGTATTTCCCATAACCGATCCACCACCGATATCAGGAACCTGATATTCTCGGTTTTAGGTTAGACTCTCATTGCTAGCTTACAGAGCGCGGTAGCCATAGACATACGTCGATCCACAGTTTATCGCTCAGACCACTCTTGACCAGGTATTCATAGAGCCCTGCGAAAGTCACACCCGGCTCGACCACCGCGTAAGCAGCGTCAACATTTACTTCGAGAACCTGATTCATGTGTTTGCCCAGATCAATCACGACACTGCCACGCATGCGAGGAGCAGCTCCTCCATAGCCGGAGTTGCGTCCAATGGACGTGGGCCACAGAGGAATTCGGTATCTGTTGGCAAGCTGGACAAGTCCTTGCACTTCTGAAACAGACCTTGGGTTCATTACTGCAGAGGCTACAAAATAGTCCTGCTCCACAACATGATGAGGATCATGCGTTCTTGGTGGCTCATAGTAGGACCCGTCCGCCAGCTCTTCCTTTGATGCAACAATGTGAATGTTTCGTCGATCTATGATTTCCTCGCAGGCTGAGATAAATCGTGAAAATGCATCGTGACTGACATTTGGGGGCAACGCCAATGGCCGAGAACCAGTGGACATGATTGGTCACAGAATAAACCGCTGTAAGTTTATCGGTTGTGAACTCAAGTATATTGAGCTTGCCACTGGCATTTAAATAAAAGTCTCTGGCGTGATCCCTGTCTCCTTGTGCGGGGAGACTGCCGCATGTGTATCGATTGGGAAACCACTCTAAATTAGCCTGCATATTCCGAGCTGGAAATGATCCTCAGACGGCAACACGATACCGAAGCAGAAGCGGAACGTCTTTCGTTATCTCGCTGTCGAATCAGTGGCTAGTAGCTCCGCCATTATCATCGTGGCCAGCATTCGGGATCAGTGAACAAGCACAGAAGAATATCGTAGACAACTATTGGGTACTATGCCTCCATAGTTGATTGTCACGGATACACCGTGAGGCAAGTAGCCCGAGGTACTCCGTACAATCGCCGTTTTCGTCAAAGAAGGCAAATCCGTACCCTGGTAAGGAAAGAACATGATAAAATACGAGGGAATACCCAATTTATTATTAATATTTCGTCAGAAGCCTCTTTTCTTACATTTCAAGCTTTCCAGCGAGCAAATCCTTCAACCCCAAAAGTTACTATTCCAGTTTAAGCTATAGATAAGCTACCAAAGTGCTCACAGGTTGTCACAGACTCCCCGAACCTGGACCTGGGGAGGATTCACAGTATAGTTTCCCTCTCCCGCGATAACAACGGAGCTACCATCAGCGCCAATGATGGTACAAAATCCTCCTCTGTTTGACCAGATGCTCTTAACCACAGTGGGGTTATCTGGGGGCAAATTGGCAAGCAGCACTTTGGTGATACAAGTGATGGGAGAAACTAACCAATGCGGACTGATGTGGTATCTGCTGGAAATATTTCCCCGTAAGAGGATCCGTCAACACCATAAAAAGTTAAGGCCACGTTAAACGCTCGTTTTTCGTCCAGGTTGGCGCTGGAAAACGCGGCAAGACTGCACAGGCTTGCGGCAAGGGCTGAGAACTTCATTCTGACGGTTAAAGGCAGCGGTAGATACTAGTATGAGTTAGGAAGACTGGAAAATAGATAAGAATTGAGATTCCGTGATGTGCTGAATAGTTTACTATGTTAACTTCCAACTGAGATGGATACACATTAATAGACCCTTTTATACGAAGAGTTCATGCATTGACAGAAAAACAAAACATAACAGCTACGCCATGCTTACATGCCACCTCGTATTCAGGACACCAAATGCTTACCGCAGCTGTGACAGGGTATTATTAAAAGAAGGCGAGATCCATGGATTCACCCATCCCCCGCTGATATAGTAACCATGGGAGTGAACATAACTCACGAAGAGCTAGCAGTCTACCCAAGGACAATGTCCAGGCCTAGTAAAGGGTAGCTTTAGGTTAAGACAACTTGAGTTAAATCCCTAACAGAGACCTCCATGAATGGCTGCAGAGGTCTCACTTTTATAGCACAATATGTCGCGCACATTAACCCCTCAGCCCCCTCCAACCCCCCCCAAAAATCGTCTCCTCTCTTCCTTATATCTTCTTCTTCTCTCTTCTCCACGAAATGTGTACTCCCGCTCTGCGGCCCTCAAGTTTTGGGGCAAGTTCCTGCCAGGGAGCCCTTGCCAGCATGTATAATAGAATTAGCTTAGCTACCAGATAGGCGGTTTCGCTCCGCCCGTCATATGTGAAATGGGTTCCGTCGGAGGTTCAGGGGGCTGTGCATAATTACATGTGCTTGGTGCTTGATAGGGCTGTTGTTTATATGTTGGCGGATCTGACCTTCCCTGAGGATTTGAGGGAGGATTGGCGGCGGTTTTGTGAGAAGACTATAAAGCTCGTGGATGCGTAGTGGGAGCGTCCGGCGACGAATTTGTCAGTTTACCAGGGCGTGGATTATTGTCTGATTCATTCTCTCGCGTACTTTTGCAAGGAAGTCTTGATGGGTGCGAATAGTGGCGTGATGCAGGATTTGTGGCTGTTGAAGAAGCCACTGTGAAGTCTTTGGATCCATACTACCAGGTTATTATGGTTGTTTTATAGAGAATGGCTTGTCAACCACCCCTTCAAGTCTCCAATCGTCGGACAATCAAGAAACAACTAACTCTTGATATCAAGCTGTAACTCATCCAGATTGATCGGCGCAAAGCTCGCCTCGTCGTTTTATCTCGGAAACTTCCTGATCGGTTCCAAAGCCCAGACAATGTGTACAATGTAAATAGATGTGAGTGCTTGTTTGTGAAACTTGAATTGGATGTGTTGGCCATTCTGCCACTGCCCTTCGCCTTCCCTCTTTCCCTTTCGAGACTTGCCTTTGTCCTCGCTCACTCTCTATGTCTTCTTACTTCTTACATGCACGGATGCCTGTCTTTCCTCTACATTTCTATCTGTATGACCATTCCTGATTGTGGAGTAATGGGTTTACTCGGGTTATGTGCATATCTATGTGGACATACATAGACCTCGCCCCCACCCGCGGGTGATCAAACAAATCAAACATTACTATTTTAGGTTAGATTACCATTTTATGCACACAAATCAGGTAAAGCGTGGGAATTTTATGAAATTTTGTGAAATTTTGTGAAAATGAGGGTCTATAAGGGTCTGTGAGGGTCACCCGCACGAGACTCGAAGAGGGTTGAGGGTCGGGTGAGGGTCGCGAGTATTTGACCCGCCCCTCGCGAGGGTCGGGTGGAGGGTCCAAAGTAGGGACCCTCTTGAGGGTCTGGACGAGGTCTAGAAATATGGTCATACCCACTATGTCCCAGGAGAGCATGCTGTTCGAAAGCCATACGTGTACAGGCGGTCTAGTGTTAGGGGCTGGACTCAAGTTGTCTTAACCTAAAGCTACCCTTATTATACAAGAAGGAATCGTTGAAGAAGAAACAAACAGAGCAGAAGCGAAAGCAGTCTTTTATGGACATCTGGGAATGATACTCCCAACAGTATTCTCAGTGTTCCTTTTCGGAAGTCGGAAGTCGTACGAAGGACACCGCTACAGTAAAACCCGGTTATAACGAACCTGGATATAACGAATCTACCACCTGCCACCGTAGGTGTCACCATATTACATAACGAATTTTTCCTAAAATCCTCCTTACTACGAATTTGTTAGCATTCCACGTGCGGTCCCCATCCAATTTGTTATAACCAGGTCTTTATCGTAGCATATCAAAGCCCATTACTCAGCATTTTGACCCTCTTTCGACGTCAGTATGCCCCCTCGCCGAGTGATTTCTGTCGACCAAAAGCGACCGCTACGAGCGCAGAAGCGACGAGATCCTTCGTTAAGCAATATCACCCTTTGCGAGTGGTTCAAATCGACATATCAGCAGCCAATTGCCCTATCTTCAGTCTCCGAGATTCTATCGAGTCGATACGCCTTCCTTGATGATACCTCTGTTAGCCAGCGAGCCCCTACACAGCGATCCGACCCGAAGCGACTACAACGTGAACATTGGCCAGAGCTCAAAGACAACCTTTTTCAGTGGATGCAAGGCGCAGAACAGCATATCATGATCTGCGCTATCACGCTTCGCGAGAAAGCTGAGTTCTTTTGGCGGAATCTTGAGAAATATCGTGATAAGGAGATGCCTTCATTCAGCAACAGCTGGCTACACGGTTTTCAGCAACGTCGAGGTATCGCAGATCATATGAAGCATGGCGAGCTTGCAAGCGCACGGTCCGCGATATATGAGATGAATGCTATCCAGTAAGCACTCGCTAGCTTTCAACCTCAGGATATCTTTAACTGCGATGAAACTGGCCTTTTCTGGAAGCGTGTGCCCGACCATAGCTTATCTACACATGCTTTGCCTGGCCGATGTAAAGAGAAAGTACGGATTATGATGCATTTCGCGGTCAATCAAGATGCGTCTGAGCGGCTACCACTCTGGATTATTGGCCGGTCTGCAACACCACACGCGTTTAGTGCTACTCGAATCAATATCCAGAGTCTTGGAGTCTACTGGCGGCATAATAAATCGGCTTGGATGACAGGAGCGATTATGGAGGAGTGGCTACGCTGGTTTGATCTGCGAATGACAGGCCGAAAAGTCGCCCTTTTGATGGATAACTTTTCTGCGCATGAGAAGGCAGTTCAAGAGATCAATATGTCTTCACAGCCATTACAAAATACCTTGATTATTTGGCTACCAGCAAATACGACCAGCAAATATCAGCCACTTGATCAAGGTATTATCAATACGTGGAAGACCCTTTGGCGTCAACAGTGGGTACGCTATATGCTTCAAGAATATGAAGCCGGGCGTGATCCCGTAACCACAGGGTGCTGATGTCGAAGAGGAATATATCGATTATGAGATCGAGGTTCAACCCCTATCACATCACATAACGCGCTGACAGCACTGCGTACCCTACGGCTATACCAGGAGCAGCAAGAAGAGAGCGATACTGGCCTAATTCGGCTCCTAAACCGGCTAGAGAACAATATACAGAGGCAGGAGATCCAAAACAGGCGTCAGGTTGACATTCGAGGCTATTTTGGGGGGCAGAGTTGAAAATAAGGGGGGGTTCCTGGATATAACGAATTCCTGGATATAACGAATTGAGGCGATGAAAAGTATTATTCGTTATAACCGGGTTTTACTGTAGTCCTTGTATGCAAGGGGTTCGTACGAAGGTCGTCAATAATTGATTCGGACCCCTTGCAGGTTGCGTTCTGTGCTGGCCTTGGCCGAACCTGTCATCCTTTGGGTTCGTACAAGAATCCCATAACATCTAGGACGATTAAATAGACTAGAAAGGTAATAGAAGGGGACTTTAGTTCAGGAATTCATAGGGACAAGAGGCCGAAAGTTATCTGCCAACCTCGAGTTCATGGAATATGGTCTGTAACCGTCTGTCATAGCTTTGGGGCTCGATATGAACAATAAAACCTGATTAAATGATAATAATAGTACTCTTCTATATCCTCTCTACGTAATTATGCGGGTAAACAGCAGCCCAATAACTAGGAACCTCAGATGAGATATGCAGATCCGAATACTCTGGCGGCTTTTCATCCTCTTCCATATCAACGCCCCACTGTACATCACCCGGCGTTGGAACATCGGCAGAGCCAAATTCATCTGGCTTCATGTCATGGATATGGCTATCATAATGTGGAAGCTGCCCACAATCTGCATCCCTAGCATCTGGCTCGTAAAGAATAGAGAAACCCGTCCTACTCGACGGGCGGAAATGGATAAATATCGGAAGAGAGAAACGGATCTATGCACAGTTAGCCCGGTCCATGTATATAATTAGAATAGGGTTGACCAACAGAGGATTTGTGACCGTCAGGATTCGACAGGATTATAACAACTGCAACATTATGTTTGACTTGAAGCACTGTGGTTGTAGCGCTTTGTAAGCATTGCATTGTGGACCTTGGAAGGCTAAGTAACCGAGAAACATGGAACGAATACCCGTCGTCAGGAGATACATCCAACTCATCCCAGGCCGGGACTTTGTATTGGTCCACCAATACTTCGCGCGATCGGGTAGCCGGTAAGGGTTTCGTGACATGGTGTGTTTCGACAAGACGTGATTCAATTCTTTCCAGTTCAAGTCCTTTGACAAGAGGGGTAAAGCGGAAGTCAATGCGAATGCTGCTACCGAATGATACGGCTGGGTTGGAGATGCTGGCATTGTAGATGATCTTCTCTGGCCAGATGTTTCCATAATCCTGGATGAGGTCAGCCGTGGTAAAAAATTGATATATTTGATCCGAAACTTACACTGAGCTCTCTGAATAAGGACATGGTATACGCCTTTCGCATTTGTACCTCCCTCGATATAGAGAGATTATTACCGCCATTGCCGTAAATCTGCGCTCGAAGAATGTAACGGATAAAGCAGTCATCAATACCTTGGATAGATTCTGGTGTTCCCTTTGGCACGCAAACCTCAAAGGGGAATTCATAATTATCTGGTTTCAATACCATGGTAGGATCCCGTCTCGGAGTAGGTAGGAGATTCGATATCAGGTGAAAGAAAGTGACCTCCTTCCAGGGTAGCTTGTTGTGATGATGATGCAAACTATTAAAAGGCTTTAGGTCCCAGCTAGCATCAATTAGCCTATAGCTTTAATGTAGGTCTCTGTTCGGGTCATACTTGACATAATATCGACCCTCTAGATGCAACTTGATATCCTTCACGCTGGTGGGTTGGGTGATACATAAGACTACCCTGCCTCGAATGTGGCCATAGCTAGTACCACCCTCTGTCGCTGGAAGCCACACAATATCGTTGTTCAGCCTGAAGATGCTGAGTGACTTCGTTTGTCATTAATCGGTTCAAAGAGAATGCATACCTGATATCGAAATAAACTGGCTCGAGCCTTTGCGGCGCAAAGCAATCGAAGAAATCCAGCAACATGCTGCCTGCCCTAGTGGACATACGCTTCTCAGATTATAAGTTTATCCATGATCCTCGAGATCTTTATATTGTTATTCCATGTGATCCAGGGCTTTTTCCTACCATTACTCTTTTCGGCGTTCCCGCTAGCGGTTAACTTACTAAAAATGAATAACTGAGCGGAATACTTCCTGATTAGGAGATCCACCCGCCAGTATTTTTCCTTCAACCTCCCCATATACTCAGGATTACCACAGGCGTACTCGTCATTTCTGAGCAAATGATTGAAAATATTGCCACCGAGAACCTATAAATATGCTAGCGCGAAGCGCCCATTTCCATTACCTTACTACAACCCTCTTGTACATTAGCATTGTTCTCGTTTCCTTACCACTATCGAGTTGCCGACATAGGAACACTTGACTTCAGATACTCTCCTTGTATTTCTATTTGTTTTATATTTCAACTTCATGTCGCTGCAGAATCCTGCTCGTGCCGTCCTTTCTCACCGAGGCTTGCACACCCTCACTTCTCAGCCCAACTTGAAACGCTGCTTAGCTACATCCACCCAGGGAGCACGCAAAGAGGGCGATATCTCATCTGTTTTCGTATCCCTCTCCGGGAAAGAAAAGTCTGCTCTTCCAGAGAGATTTGCAGATCAGAAAAAGCGCCTGATTGCTGGCCGAGAGGACCAGATTCAAAAGAGCTGGGATCGTCTCCTCCGTAAATTGAAAGATGAAGTGAATCTGATTGAGCAGCGCGGGTCTGACATCGTTCCTTCAATTGATATCAAAGATATACACTCTGCTCCTAAGGCTTTTCAGGATGAGCTGAGGAAACGCGGCGTTGCTGTCATTCGAGGAGTAATTCCTGAACATGAGGCCAGATGTTACAAGGACGAAATTGAGCAATATGCCAAGGCAAATCCCGAAACAAAAGGTATGTCTCTAGTTACTTCCCCTCCACTGACATAGTACTAACGACCTATAGCATTCCCCCCACACGACCCCCAGGTCTACGAGCTGTATTGGTCCAACCCTCAGATCCGGGCACGTACACACCCCAACATGCTCGAGGCACAACGCTTCCTCATGAGCTTCTGGAAATCCAATGCATCGGACGCATTGATATCCCCTACACATCCCCTCACCTATGCAGACAGACTCCGTATTCGCCAACCAGGAGATGCAGGATTCGCACTTGGCCCGCATATCGACGGAGGAAGCTGTGAGCGCTGGGAGGACAATGGCTATGGCCGCGGCGATGTTTACAAGAGCATCTGGGAGGGTAACTGGGAGCAGTATGACCCGTGGGAAGCTAGCTGCCGGGTACCCGCCGAAGCCGATCTCTACAACGGCGCTGGGGCGTGTTCGATGTTCCGGATGTTCCAGGCATGGTTGAGCATGTCGCATTCTGGACCGAATGAGGGAACATTGCTGGTAAATCCACTTCTCTCAATGGCCACAGCATACTTCCTCCTGCGACCGTTCTTCGAGCCTATCTATTTGCCGCCAAAGGATTGCTCGCGAATGGCGCTGGGTACGTTCCTCGACCCTAGCAATTGGTGCTTGGAGAAGGAAATGTCGAGTGGATTGCAAGGTGCAACACCTGGATACGCGCAGGAACTGTCAACAGCGCTTCATCCTCATCTTGAGTTGGATAAGACAATGGTTCACGTCCCAAAGATTGCCCCCGGTGATTATGTCGCCTGGCACTGTGACAGTGAGTGTTCCCCTTAACTAACCTCAATTTCACGGACAATTTTCTAATTCTAAATAGCCATCCACGCTGTTGACAAAGTACACAATGGATTCGGAGACTCGAGCGTCATGTATATTCCCGCATGTCCTGTTACTGAGGCCAACGCGGCCTATGTTGCACGTCAGAGAAATGACTTCGTTGCGGGTGTCCCTCCACCAGATTTCCCGGGAGGCAAGGGAGAGTGTGAGCATGTCGGGCGAGCCACGGAGGCTGGCTTGCGAGGACTCACTAATGAGTTGGGCCTGCGGGCCTTCGGATTTGGGAAATGGAATCTGAATGAGGCAGGTTTGTCGCGCGGACAGCAACAGGTTTTGGAGAAAGCAAACCAGATTCTGAGTGTTTGATATTGATTACAAGGTAAAACAAATGTGTTTATTTCTTCCAAGAGTAAAAGGCAGACCCACATTGATTCCATATGAGCGAACAAAATGTGAATAATGACAAAGTGGAATTCATGTAGCCACTCTTTCATTACACATCCAAAGTAGGTTTCGCCCAATCCTTTGGATGCCAGATATGCACAATCAATTTAGGGACAAGAGAAAAATATATATATACCCACGGCAAGTCAGGAAAAGACCAGCATAGTTTTCATGTCCCCAGACCTAAGTAGTACCATAGTGCTGAGATAAGCACAATGCCCACGAATACAACAGCTGCTTAGTTCAATGTGTTGGCAGTGGCATTTTTAAAAGTCGGCATGCCGAATAAGGGAATGAATGGTCAAGAGGGTCCACGCTAACAGGCGAGTGTTAATGAGATATGAACGCACACGGCAAAGGGAAAACGAACCAACAGTAACAATGTTGCAGAATGTGCCCAGATGACCGAGATGAAAAGTACCATGCTTGATATCCCGACGGCGTCGTATAATCAGCGATACGGCCACGGGGCAGGCATAGCTCGAGAAGGAGGTTTGACTGGAGGGAATCCTACGAGATGATCATTCCCGTGGCTGAGGTCGCCCACGAGGCTTGCAAGAGACCAACGCAGAACGACCAGCCCGCAGGCCAGCCGCTTAGCGGCTCGAAATGTGTGAAAACCCAGTCGGTGGAATATCTGGCCTCCTTCGCAAGAACCAGGATGCAGACGAAGATGGCAATGGCGCCAGCTATAGTCCAAAAAATGGCGAATTGATATAAACCAAAGGAGTTAATTAGGTAGACGCGTAAGGAAGAAATGATAAAATAAATGAAGCAAATGGGAGCTTCAGAAAGGATCTATAGGGTGTTTGTTAAATGTATGTAACTCTAGCCAGGGCAGTCATTTGTTGCCAAATGCAGGAATTGCATGGCATATAAGGGTAATCGCCAGAAAGATCAGGAACAGGCGGCGGAAAGAGCCCGGAAAGACGAGGAATGGGGACTGGAAGCATTGGAGAAAGCAAGTAGTAGACATTGACATAGGTCGCCCACGGGCCGGACCTAGACTGCGACACGATGTCACAACCTGGCTTCCCTCGTATCGTACCTAGGGTTCTAGTTAGTTGTATTTCGAGACAGGACACTTACCCTAAGTGTCTTCCAAGTAATCGTATGCTCAATGACCATCTGGGTCCGGTTCAGTAAGTCGTATGCGTC